AATTCCAGCAAGGATCAGGAACACTCAAGGAATTCCAGCAAGGATCAGGAACACTCAAGGAATTCCAGCAAGGATCAGGAACACTCAAGGAATTCCAGCAAGGATCAGGAACACTCAAGGAATTCCAGCAAGGATCAGGAACACTCAAGGAATTCCAGCAAGGATCAGGAACACTCAAGGAATTCCAGCAAGGATCAGGAACACTCAAGGAATTCCAGCAAGGATCAGGAACACTCAAGGAATTCCAGCAAGGATCAGGAACACTCAAGGAATTCCAGCAAGGATCAGGAACACTCAAGGAATTCCAGCAAGGATCAGGAACACTCAAGGAATTCCAGCAAGGATCAGGAACACTCAAGGAATTCCAGCAAGGATCAGGAACACTCAAGGAATTCCAGCAAGGATCAGGAACACTCAAGGAATTCCAGCAAGGATCAGGAACACTCAAGGAATTCCAGCAAGGATCAGGAACACTCAAGGAATTCCAGCAAGGATCAGGAACACTCAAGGAATTCCAGCAAGGATCAGGAACACTCAAGGAATTCCAGCAAGGATCAGGAACACTCAAGGAATTCCAGCAAGGATCAGGAACACTCAAGGAATTCCAGCAAGGATCAGGAACACTCAAGGAATTCCAGCAAGGATCAGGAACACTCAAGGAATTCCAGCAAGGATCAGGAACACTCAAGGAATTCCAGCAAGGATCAGGAACACTCAAGGAATTCCAGCAAGGATCAGGAACACTCAAGGAATTCCAGCAAGGATCAGGAACACTCAAGGAATTCCAGCAAGGATCAGGAACACTCAAGGAATTCCAGCAAGGATCAGGAACACTCAAGGAATTCCAGCAAGGATCAGGAACACTCAAGGAATTCCAGCAAGGATCAGGAACACTCAAGGAATTCCAGCAAGGATCAGGAACACTCAAGGAATTCCAGCAAGGATCAGGAACACTCAAGGAATTCCAGCAAGGATCAGGAACACTCAAGGAATTCCAGCAAGGATCAGGAACTCTCAGGGAATTCCATCAAGGATGAGGAGCTCCCAGCTTCCCTCCTCCCTGCAGGAATTGGCTGGATCCACTTCCCACGCCTTTTCTCCCACAGAGCCCAAAGCCTGGGACTAGGGAGGGTGAGGACAGCAGGAAGGGATGTGGATGTTTCCCAGAATTCCAGCTGCACTGAGGAACAGCACGTGAGCTCCATCCAGGCAGGATGAAACCGTCTGGATGCTGTTCCAGGAGGGAAGGCGTTGGAAAGGGGGATTTCCATCAGCCAGGTGGGACAGAGCAGCAGGAAGATCCCACTTCCCTCAGCAGGCATCTCCCAAAACCCCTCCAGTGCCTCTGCAGCCAGGCACAGCCAGATTTACTGGGAATATTCCCTCCTTAGCCAAACCCCCCAGTGCTGCAGCTGATCAAAGGCAAGGATTAAAGCAGGGAAGGAAGTTCAAGGGAAAAATTCCTCCCAACCAGGAGGCTGCAAATCCACAGGAAAAGAGAGAGGTGCCTCAAACCACGGATATTCACATTCCTAAATCCCTGCTTATTATAATATTAGAGGGAGAAACACCCAACACTTGTGATCCTCATTGTAATCTGGGAGGGATTTGCAGCACAGGGAGATGGGGGAGGAATGGAATGGGAATAACCTGGGAAATGGGAAGGAAACTGGATCCTTCAATGATTAAAGGAAAGAGAGTTGCTGGAGCCAACCTGGAGGCTCCAAATCCACAGCAAAGCCAACGCAAACCATGGATATTTGGATTCCTAAACCCTTGGTTACTATAAATAATGTAAAATAGAGAGGGAGAAACACTTCCCTGAATCCTGATCCCGTCAGTGCCTCCAGTTCCCTCTCATCTCTTACCCCATCCCTGCAAGTGACCAAGGCCAGGCTGGCCTCATGGATCATCTGCTCCAACCTCTCCTGGCCACAGCAGGGTCTGGACGAGGTGGTCCAGCTGAATTCCCTCCAAATTATTCCACAAAGAGGAAAAAAACCCCTGGGATTTGTAAATTGTTAAACTTTTTACAGGTCCTGTCAAAGCTGAGGCTGATCCTTCCAGGCCTTCATCCCAATTCCAAGGTCACATTCCCAGTACCCCACTCAACCTGTCCAAAACCCCTGAATGAATCCCATTTTCCCTTCCTAGAAGCACCCAGGGATGTGACCCATAGGAAATGCATCCCATTATTCCCAGTATTTAATGCCCATTTATATCCAGGGATGCCAGGCTTTGCTCATGCACCTTCCCACAGGAAAACCTCTGCTTTTCCAGAGCTTTGGCCTTCCAGGTGAGGGATGGGACTTTTTACAGGTTCTGTCAAAGCTGAGGCTGATCCTTCCAGGCCTTCATCCCAATTCCAAGGTCACATTCCCAGTACCCCACTCAACCTCTCCAAAACTACTGAATGAATCCCATTTTCCCTTCCCAGAAGCACCCAGGGATGTGACCCATAGGAAATGCATCCCATTATTCCCAGTATTTAATGCCCATTTATATCCAGGGATGCCAGGCTTTGCTCATGCACCTTCCCACAGGAAAACCTCTGCTTTTCCAGAGCTTTGGCCTTCCAGGTGAGGGATGGGAGGGGAAATGCAGCATTTGCTGGGAAAAGCCTGGAACTGAGAGGAGAACCTGGGATTTCTGCAGGATTTAAACCCACGGAGGTGGCCCCCCTTCCCTAAAAACCACAGCACCCTGGATGAGCTCTCCCATCCCTCAAACCCGGCCCTGCCCTCTCCTCCTCCTCCTCCTCCCTTCGCTCCCACTGGAAGATTTTCCCAACCCTTTCATTCCCTCCTGTGTCATCCACATCCAGCACATTTTGCTCTATTTTTTGTCCAATTTTCAGCTCAGCTCCCAAAAATAGGTCACAACATTTGGAACCTTATCCCAGTTAGGCTTTAAAGAACCAGAAATTCCTTTTTTTTTTTTTTTTTTTTTTTTTTTTCCCCCATTCCCCGTATAATTTCCAGGTTAATAATATTTCCCAAAACAAAGCCAGGGTTTAAAATTCCAAGAGTTACTTACAAAAGAGCTTTTCTTCCCTCATTTTGTTTGGAATTAATTTTTCTGAGGAATAAAAACAAGAAATCTGCAAGGCCTGGTCTGCAGGTCAGGACTGGAAGTTTCCCATGAGCTTTTCCAGGGAATTTTTTTGGCAATATCACAAATTTTTTAGGGAAATATCAGGGAGTTCATAGGGAAATATCAAGGAGATTTTAGGGAAGTGCCAGGGGGATTTAGGGAAATGTCAGAGAGTTTATAGGGAAATGTCAGGGAGCTTTTAGGGAAGAATCCAGGAATTTGGAGGAAATATCAGGAAGTCTTTATGAAAATATTAGGGATTTTTAAGGGAAGTATCAAGGAGTTTTTAGGGAAACACCAGGAGGTTTTTAATGAAGTATCAGGAAATTTTTAGGGAAATATCATGGAGGTTCAGAATTTCATTTCAGGGGAAATATCAGGGAGTTTTTAGGGAAGTATCAGGAATTTTTAAGGGAAATATCAGGGAGTTTTTATGGGGACATCAGGGAGTCTTTATGACAATACCAAAGAGTTTTTAGAGGAACATCAAGGAAATTTTAGGGAACTATTAGGGGGTTGGTAAGCAAAGATCAGGGGTTTTTAGGGAAGTATCTGGGAGGTTTTATGGAAATATCAGGGAATTTTTAGAGGAATATCAAGGATTTTTTTGAGGAATATCAAGAATTTTTTAGAGGAATATCAAGGATTTTTTTGAGGAATATCAAGGATTTTTCAGGAAATTATCAGAGGGATTTTGGGGAAACATCAGGGAGTTTTTAGGGAAGCACTCAGAGGGTTCACCTTCCTCCCTCTGGGCTGTGCTCTCCTGCCCTGGGGAGGCAGGGTGGGAACACTGGGACTCCAGAACACGGCCCCAAAACAGATCAGGGGTACCCTGAACATTCCCTGTGCCCAGCAGCAGCTGGGAAATGCAGGAGCACCACATCCCAGCTGGGAGCTCCACATTCCAAACCCACATCCTGGGAGTGCCGAAATCCACCCCCCTGGAGAGAGCCCCAAAATCCATCCCCTGGAGAGAGCACCAACACCAAAATCCATCCCCTTGGAGAGACCCCAGCATCAAAATCCATCCCTCTGGAGAGAGCACCAAAATCCATCCTCCTGGAGAGAGCACCAACACCAAAATCCATCCCCTTGGAGAGACCCCAGCATCAAAATCCATCCTCCTGGAGAGAGCACCAACACCAAAATCCATCCCATTGGAGCACCAAAATCCATCCCTTTGCAGAGAGCCCCAGTGCCAAAATCCATCCCCCTCGAGAGAGCACCAATACCAAAATCCGATCCCCTGGAGAGAGCACCAACACCAAAATCCATTCCCTTGGAGAGAGCAGAAACACCAAAATCCATCCCCTGGAGAGAGCCCCAGTGCCAAAACCCCTCTGCAGAAAACCCCAACTCCGGCTGCCTCCAAGCACTCCAAACATGCCAAGAGCCCCAGGGAGCTCCAGGCTCTCCAGGGAGCTCCAGGCTCTCCAGGGAGCTCCAGGCTCTCCAGACCAGCAGGGAGCTCCAGGCTCTCCAGACCAGCAGGGAGCTCCAGGCTCTCCAGGGAGCTCCAGGCTCTCCAGGCCACCAGGGAGCTCCAGGCTCTGCAGGGAGCTCCAGGCTCTCCAGGGAGCTCCAGGGAGCTCCAGGGAGCTCCAGGCTCTCCAGGGAGCTCCAGGGAGCTCCAGGCTCTGCAGGGAGCTCCAGGCTCTCCAGGCCACCAGGGAGCTCCAGGCTCTCCAGGCCAGCAGGGAGCTCCAGGCTCTGCAGGGAGCTCCAGGGAGCTCCAGGCTCTGCAGGGAGCTCCAGGGAGCTCCAGGCTCTGCAGGGAGCTCCAGGGAGCTCCAGGCTCTCCAGGGAGCTCCAGGCTCTCCAGGCCACCAGGGAGCTCCAGGCTCTCCAGGGAGCTCCAGGCTCTCCAGGCCAGCAGGAATTGCAGCCAGGCCAGTGCCACTCACCCGTGGTCTCGACGATGCCCTCGAGGATGACGACGATCTCGAACTGCTCGGTGTGCATGCTGCGCTGGGACAGGTCGTAGAAGGGGCTCTTGGAGTCGATGACGTGGCAGATGGTCAGGGGGGACACCAGGAAGAGCTGGTCAGCTCCCGTGCTGAAGCCCACGTCCAGCTCCAGCTGATCCAGGGGCAGGAATTCTCCCTCCGGAGTCTGGCGGGACTGCGAGGGACAAGGAGGGGAAGGGACGTTGGAGCTCCTCATCCCTGGGAGTGCCCAGGGAGAGCTTGGACAGGGCTTGGAGCGACCTGGGACAGCAGAATCCCTGCCTGTGGGATGGGATTGACAGCCCTTCCCGCCCGAACATTCCAGGATTCTGGGATTTCACCAGGTGGAACCGGGAGTTAAGGACAACGCAGCGCTGGCCAGCCCAGGGAAACGGGGGGAAGGAAATCGTGGAATCCCAGGAAGTTTGGGTTGGAAAAGCCCTCCAGGATTGATTCCCAACCACTCCCAGCACTGCCCCAGGTCCCCAAGTGCCACATCCATGGCTTTGCAATCCCTCCAGGAATGTGGCTCCAGCCCTGCCTGGGCAGCTGTGCCAGTGCCTGACCTCCCTTTCCCTTCCCATGGAAAAATCTTTCCTAATGTCCAATCTAGCTCCAGGTTAAATTCTGACAGCGCCATCACTGCCCTCTCCCCCTGGATCCCTGGAATTCCCTGGGGATCCAGCACATCCCTCCCAGCCCTGCTGTGGGACAGGTCCAGGTGTTCCCGGATCCAGCTGGGATGTCACACACTCCCAGCTGCTCCCTGGGACTTCAGATGGAATTCCAGAGCTCAAATCCAGAGAAAGCAAATTTAATTTTACACCTCCCCGAGTCCCGGGAAGAATCCAGCCCCAGGCAATTCCAGAGGGAACATTTTGCTAAGGAATGAACCCTGAGTGACTCCTTTGCTCCAAGTGATGGGGGAGGAAAACTCAGGAATTCTGAGTGACACCCAAGCTCCTCCCAAACCCAAAAATCCATCCCAAAATTCCCATTACAGCAAAAGAGGCTTTGTGCAGATTTCCCACTTTAAGGCTTTGTGGTTGGTTTTGCTCCTGGCAGGAAAAATAAAGGATTGGGATTCCCAGCTCCACGCAGCTCTGCAGGAAAAGAACCTTTTCCGTAACAAAAACCCTTCCCAAGGAAATCTGAGCCCTCTGGGCTGCAGCTCCCCTGGCACAGGACTCTGGGGAGGAATTCCCAGTTCCTGCTCCACATCCCTGTGTCCCCCAGGCTGGCCACCCCAGCCGGGCCTGGGAACAGGCACAGCTCTCCTGCTTCCTCCTTGTTCCTCTTATTTTCCCATTTATTGGTTCCCTTCTCCCCCTTTTTTCTTCTTCCCCCTTCCCCCTCTTTTTTCTTTTCCTTTTCTCTTATTTTTTTCCTTTTATTCCCTTGGTATTTCTTCCTTTTATTTTCCCTTTTTCTCATTTTCTTTTAGTTTTCTCTTATTCTCCCTGCTGTGGGTCCCTTTTATTTTCCCTCCTTCCTTTTATCTTTTTTCCTTCTTTCATTTTCCTTTTCTCCTCTTCATCCCTTTTTCTTTTATTCTTTTTTTTTTCTTTTTTACCCTTTTCCTCTTCCATTTCCTCTTTCCTTTTATTTTTCTTTTTTCTTTAATTTTTCCTTTTATTTTCCTTTTCCCCTTTTTAATTTTATTTTTCTTCTTATTTTCCCTTCCATTTTCCTTTCCCCTGCTTTTTTCGTTTTATTTTTCACTTTTATTTTCCCTTTTATTTTCCTCTTCCCCATTTTTCCTTTTTTTTTTTCTCCTTTTTTCCTTCTAATTATCATTTTTTCCACTTTTTTTCCCCTTCCCTTTTTTTCCCCCAGAAGGCCCGACCTGGCACTGCTTTTCTTCCAAGCACAAACCTTTCTTTTCCCATAATTCAAATCCAGGGAATTATTTTGGAGCCACACTGAGTTTGAAGCTCCAACTTTTAAAATTCCCCCTCTGGCACTTCCAGAGCCAAAAAAGAAAAAAAAAAAAGCAATTTTCAAATGCTGGACTGGAAATTACTAATTTTTGATTGTTTATAGCTTGAAATAAATTATTTAAATATATTTATATAGTGTGGAACTATATATTTACACATTATTAAATATTTTAAAACAAACTGTATAAATTATATATTGTTAAATATAAATATTTATGATTGCATATTACATAAATCTATGGTATTATTCTGTAATGCTATTTCATATATTTATCCTTATAAATAATAGCTATAATATTTATAAATTATATTCCATCATTTTAAAGCTATTCAAGGGTTATTTTGGGAGATTTTTAGGAATTCTTTCCCTCTTTTAGGCACAGACTCCCTCAAGGTTTAGGGGACCCCCCAAGGTTTAGGGGTTTGGGCCAGTCCTGATCCTGCAATGCCAGGGAAACGGATTTGGGAGAACAGGACAGGCTCAGGAGCCTCCCATGGGCTGAGCTCCGTCCCTGGGGCTGCAGGGAGGGGAGGAAAACCGGGGAGATTCCCAAGGGGATTGTCCTGGGAATGGGGACCCTGCCCCGCTCTGCACAGCACCCACACCCCGAGGGAAGGGCATGCAGGATATCCCAAACCCCTGCAGGACACCCCCAATCCCTGCAGGATATCCCAAATCCCTGCAGGACACCCCCAATCCTACCAGGATATCCCAAATCCCTGCAGGACACCCCCAATCCTACCAGGACACCCCCAATCCCTGCAGGACACCCTTCCAATGGAATCAGCACCCACATTCCCTGGCAGCCACCCCACCCCAAGGACAGGACACCCATCCCAAGGGCACTGCAATCCCAAGGACAGGACACCCCATTCCCTGCAGGACAGTCCCCCCCCAAGGACAGGACACCCCATTTCCTGCAGGACACTCCCCCCCCAAGGACAGGACACCCCATTACCTGCAGGACACCCATTCCAAGGACAGGACACCCCATTCCCTGCAGGACAGTCCCCCCAAGGACAGGACACCCCATTCCCTGCAGGACACTCCCCCCAAGGACAGGACACCCCATGCCCTGCAGGATACTCCCCCCAAGGACAGGACACCCCATTCCCTGCCCAGCACCCCCCTATCCCGATTCCCGGGGGTCCCTGCGGGATGCTCCACACGCAGCAAACGCCCCCCGAGCCGGCTCCTTCCTCCCACCCGCTCCATCCCCATCCCCATCCCCATTCCCGATTCCCTCTCCCCTCGGGATCCGCGGCCCCGGCCGAGCCTCAGAGCAGCGCCGGCTTTCCCAGCCCTCCAGGGCAGGGATGCTCCAGGTCTAAGCCTGGCACTCTGCTTTCCTTGGAGCTCACGTCAATAAAGTTCAGCCTGGCTGGGCTCAGGGCTGCCCAAAAAGCTCTGGATTATGCCCGGAGCTTTCTCCTTCCCGGCTCGCGGAAGGCTCGGAGCCACAAAGGATTTCCTTGTCAGGGAAATGGAGCATTTTATAGGAATCTATAAATATCCATCCCAATCCTGCGCTGAATGTAGGAATTATCTCCAAGGAGGCTGGGAATGCTGATGGCTGAGCCCGCAGCCCGAGGCTCCCGGAGATGTTCCCTGCGCCAGGAAAACAGGACAGGGATGCTGGGACAGCAGCAGGACCCAAAACACGATCTGGGATCATCCAGTCCGGCCCCTGGGCTGCTCCAAGCCCCAGGGACGTGGGGACAGCCATGGGCAGGAGAGAGGGATGTCCAAGGGACACGGAGAGGCGGGTGGGATGTCCCTAGGGGAACAGCAGTGGGGCCACGGCTCTGTCACAGAACCATGGAATTGTTTAGGCTGGAAAAGCCCCCCAAGAGCACGAAATCCAACCATCCCAGCCACCCCAGCACTGCCAAGACTCTCACAGAATTACTGAGGTTGGAAAAGCCACCCAGGACCATGGAATCCAACCATTCCCAGCACTGCAATGGCCCCCATGGAATCACTGAGGTTGGAAAAGCCACCCAGGACCATGGAATCCAACCATTCCCAGCACTGCCGAGGCCCCCATGGAATCACTGAGGTTGGAAAAGCCACCCAGGACCACGGAATCCAACCATTCCCGGCACTGCAATGGCTCCCATGGAATCACTGAGGTTGGAAAATCCCTCCAAGGCCATCAAGTCCAACCATCCCAACCATGCCCAGCACTGCCGAGACCCCCACGTCCCCAGGCGCCACCTCCACGCGGGATGGGGACTCCACCACTGCCCTGGGCGGCTTTCCAAGAAGGAACTTCCCCGCGATCCCCCGCGGAGCACCCACCTTGAGCAGCTTGCAGCGGATCTGGGCGGACACCATGTGGCTGTTGCGGAGGTTGCCCACGCGGAACATGAGCGTGAGCTTGCCGTCGCGCATGGAGATGGCGGCGTGCTCGCTGAACATCAGCGTCTCGGCCCTCTTCTTGGGCTGCGACATCTTGATGAACATGCAGCCGATCAGGAAGGCGTCCACGATGGAGCCCAGGATGGACTGGAAGAGGAAGAGGATGATGCCCTCGGGGCACTTGTCGGTGATGTAGCGGTAGCCGTAGCCGATGGTGGCCTCGGTCTCGATGAAGAAGAGGAAGGCGGAGGGGAAGTTGTAGACGTTGGCCACGCACGGCGTGTAGCTGTCGTCGTGCGCCTTGTTGAGGTCCCCGCGCATGTAGGCGATCACCCACCACATGGAGGCCATGAAGAGCCAGGCCACGGTGTAGGTGAGGATGAAGATGAACAGGTTCCAGCGCCACTTGAGGTCCACCAGCGTGGTGAAGAGGTCGGACAGGTAGCGGCTGGTCTCGCCGCCCAGGTTGCCGTGCTGCACGTTGCAGCGCCCGTTCTTGTCCACGAAGCGCTGGCGCTTCCCGCGCGGGGCGCTGCGCGGGGGCGGGAGGCCTCCGCCGCTGGCCGAGGTGCTCACCACCTGGTACTCATCGCCCAGCTTGCGCCGCAGCGCCGACATGCTCCGCGCAGCCCCGCGCAGCCCGCGCGGTCCGCGCAGCCACCCACAGCCCGCAAAACCCGCGCGGCCAGCGATACCCCGCTAAATCCGCGCGGCCACTGACAGCCCGCAAAACCTGCGCGGCCAGCAATACCCCGCTAAATCCGCGGAGCCACCGGCAGCCCGCAAAATCCGCGCGGCCAGCGATACCCCGCAAAATCCGCGGAGCCACCGATACCCCGCAAAATCCGCGCGGCCACCCACAGCCCGCAAAACCCGCGGAGCCACCGACAGCCCGCGCAACCCGCAAAACCCGTGGAGGCACCGACAACCCGCTCAGCCGGCAAAATCCGCGCAGCCACAGATACCCCGCAAAATCCGCGGAGCCACAGACAGCCCGCAAAATCCGCGCAGCCACCGATACCCCGCTCAGCCCGCAAAATCCGCGCAGCCCCCAACACCCCGCACAGCCCCGCTCAGCTCAGCATCCCCCGCACAGCCCGCCCGGCCCCGCCGCGCCGCGGCCGCGGAGCCTCCGCCCGGCGCCGCCGCCTCCCACGCGGAGCCGCCGGCAGCGGCCCCGGGCAGGGCAGCACCGCCCCGCGCAACGCCCCGCGCAGCGACACTCCTCCCGCACCGCCCCTGTCCCGCCCCTGGACCCGCACCCGCCATCGCCCCCTCTGACCCTGCGCGTCTCTGCGCGTAGCGACCCCGCGCACAGCCCGCCCTCCGCATCCTCGGTGCGCTCCGCATCTTCATCCTCCCCTTCATCCTCCCCCCAGCATCCTTCTTTCGCTCATCCTCCTCCTCCTCATCTTCTTCTCCCCAGCATCCTCCCCCGGGGCTCCATCCCTCCTCCCTCGGAGGGGCTCCAGCTCCCAACAAAACCAGCCAGGAGGGGAGATCGGGTACCCCCACTTTTCTATTCTATTCTATTCTATTCTATTCTATTTATTTCTCTATTCTATTTCTATTCTATTTATTTATATTATATTCTATTCTTATTCTATTTATTTCTATTATATTCTATTCCTATTCTATTTATTTCTATTCTATTCCATTTCTATTTTATTCTATTCTATTTCTATTCTATTCATTTCTATTCTATTTATTTCCATTCCCTTTCCTTTTATCCCGTTTTTACCTTCATTGCATTCTATTTGAAGTTTTTAAGTCGTTGAGATCCCCACAGCAGCCAAGCAGCACTGCCAGGACACAGAGGGGACACAGCCCCTTCCACCCGGGAAGAAATTCCCTAAGAGAAGCCACAAAGCTCAGCCCTGATCCAGAGCTGGCGGGAAGCAGGAAACCAGCCCCAAAATGTCGATAAATCCCCAGGGAATCATGGAGCAGTTGGGGTGGGAAGGGGCTGGTGATGCTCCCAAGGGCCAGGTTGTATCCACGGGTCCTCCTCGCCCACTCCTGCTGTTCCAGGACTGCTGCCATCAGCTCCAGGAAAAACTTGGATTGGCAGCTTTAACCATGGGATAAAGCCCAGCCACACCTCATTTTTTAACCATCACCTTCCTCAGAACTGATTCCCAAGGATTTTTCTCGCCACTGTATTTCTATTCTACCTTTTTTTTTTTTTTTCTGCCAGAAAATTAATTTAGTTTCTCACTTTTCTGTTTCCTATTCCCAATCTCTCTGTTACCCCCCTTTTTCCCTGCAATTGACACAATGCCTGTTAATTTTCCCACCCAATTAAAGGAAATTTTGTATGGAATTCATCCCAAACTCTGGCTAACTCTGGCCATGCTGCCAGAACCCTCCTGGCTCACAGATCCAGCAGCCTTGCCAGCTTCCCCTCTCCTGTTTCTCCTTCCTCCATCCCTCCTGTTTTCCCAGAGGCCTCTCCTTGGGCTGGAATTGGGCAAAGATTCCCTGTGATCCATCCCAATGTGACAGTGACAATCCAAGGGGAGCCATTCCCTGTAATTACTGCAATTAAAGTCACCATTGCTTTTAGGGGGATGAGCAGATTCCCAGCATGTTCTGCCAGCTGGGGTGGGATGAGGGAATAGTGGGAGTGGGAAAGGAATGGTGAGCATGGAACAATGTCACCCAAAGGGCCCTGGTGACAGGAAGCTGCTCCAGGAAGCCCTGGCAGAGCTCTTCCCACGGAATGATGGAATTCCCAGCTGATCCTGCTGTGCAGGGACAAATCCCACTGTCCCAGGGAGGTCCAGCCTGGCCTTGGGCACTGTCAGGGATCCAGGGCAGCCCCAGCTGCTCTGGGAATTCCAGCCCAGCCAGGAATTCCCAATCTCCCACCCATCCCTGCCCTCTGGCAGTGGGAGCCATTCCCTGGGTCCTGTCCCTCCATCCTTGTCCCCAGTCCCTCTCCAGCTCTCCTGGAGCCCCTCCAGGCCCTGCCAGGGGCTCTGAGCTCTGCCTGGAGCCTTCCCTTCTCCAGGGGAACATTCCCAGCCTGGCTCCATAGGGGCTCTGAGCTCTGCCTGGAGCCTTCCCTTCTCCAGGGGAACATTCCCAGCCTGGCTCCATGGCTCCTCTGGGTTCTCCAGCAGCTCCACATCCTCCTGTGCTGATCATCCCACAAACCCACCTTCCCCTGCTGCCATCCCGGCCGAACATTCCAGGTGAGGTTTCCCATCCCAGGTCCGAGGTTTGTGTTTAGATCCATCTAAACTCACCTGGGCAGGGGCTCCCCCTGGAGCTCCTTTCCCTGCAATTCCCTGATTTCGGCACCTGAAGGCTTTCCCAGGCTTTAGCTGATGTGGGGACCATGACAAATGAAATGATGAAATTAATTATGTATTCCCTGAATTAACAGAGACATTCCCAAACCTGTCTCTTCCAATCCCACTGCCTGGATATGGATTTGAGGGCAGATCCTGCTCTTTTCTCTTGGAAAAATCATTTCCAGTTTGAAATGGGAGTTGGAGCAGGCAGTCATGGCACCAGTATCAGGATATTCCTGGCCTCAAAAATATCCTAAGATTCATCCCCTCTGGACGAATCCCTAAATCCCTTAAATAAATCCAAAAAAAAGGGATAAATCAAATTTCCAGGGAAATGCGATGGAGGTTGGTTCCCTCAGTGCAATTTTTCAGTCAATCCTAATTATTAACATTTCTGAGAAATTCCAAAAAAAAAGGGGAAATACCTCCGTGCCTGCATTCATCCCTCCCAAGGGATTATTGGGTGATTCATTCCCAGGCTCCGCAGCCCATCATTAACAGGAGCACTTAATTACCTCTGAAGGCTTTAATTACCAGCAGGGGAGGCTGGGCCTCACCAGGGTTTGGTGTCACCTGCAGCTCCAGCTCCCCACACCTGCAGGGACAACCTGGAACAGGGAATTACTGAGAAGAGGGATTTTAGTTGGGGTTTTTCGGACAAGGGAGCAACTCTGGATGTGGGGCATCTCATTAAACGAGTTAATAATTAGTCCTTTCGTGACTTGATTGATTGAAGGGCACTGCAGCAGTGTAGGACGAGTTACAGAATTATATATTAATATAGAAATTCTATTTATAAAATCCTAATTTTGTAAATAGCTCCGGCTCTGATGTCAAGGAACCTTGGGATGGGACAGGGCAGCGTTGGGAATGTGGAGCTGTCCCCCTTTGGAGCCAGGGGTGCTCCACAGGGAGGTGACACCGCCCTCTCCCACTGTCCCCAGGACATTCCCCACCTCCTCCTTCCCAACCCAACCCCAATTCCCGGACCCACCCAGGGCTGTGGTGTGAACAAAACCCTCGGGAAGGAGATGAAATAAATAACTGATTCCTCTTTTCCTGCATGGAAATGCCTGTTTAAATTTCATCCTGATGTTTTCCTGCTCTTTTTACAAAGCAGAACAAAACCTCTCCCTTTTCTGAGGGATCTTTTAAACCACATTTTGTATTTTTAGAGTGACTGGAGGATGAGGAGCAGGAATATTTGGGCAGGAGGCTGGAGATGAGCCCCAATCCGAGTTAATCCAGGATATTCCAGCTCCATGCAGGCCCAGCAATCCCCTTCCCAGCTGAACTCCCTCCTGCTTCCCATGTAATGCTCTGGATCCAGCAGATATCCTCTGACATTTACACACCCATAAACCCCGGGATGAATCCAGAACCACCAGAGCAGATACAGAAAATACCAGCATTTTTAATGACCCAGTGCATTTTACAGAGATTTCTGGGAATTGTGAGGGAAATCCTGAGAAATATTTCCCCACTTACCCGTGCTGGGATCCCGCTGCCCTGGGATTTCAGTCTCCTGAACCCTCTGGGCAGTGAGAATTCCCAAAATCCCAGCCCAGAGGGCCACAGCTGCATTTGGGGTGGCTCCCAAAGGAATGTCCCCAGCACGTTCTGGGAATGTCCCCGTCCCCACATCCCAGGGGGAGCAGCTCCCGAGTGCCAGCAGCACTTTGGGAACAGCCAGACCCACAAAAGGATCGAGCCTCCGAATTCCTGAAACCAGAAAGGAACCTCTGGGATTCCCAGGCAGAGCTGGGAGTGGATCCAGGGACAGAGCTGGGATGCAGGGATTCATGGATGTGTTGGGATGGAGGGATGGAGACCCTCCAAGCTCCAGAGGTCTCAGTTTTGGTTGTTCCAGGTCCGGCCCCAGCCCCATTCCCATGGAAGGAGAGGACAGCTTCCTCCGAGGTCCCATGAGTGTCACTCCTTCCCCTCGGCATTCCCGTGTCTCCTGTGGCCTCATCTGTTGGAATTCCTGCTGAAGTGCAGTCCTGGCCTGGTTTCCCCAACACTGGATCCTGTTTTTTCCCAGCACAGCCCAGGAAGCTTTGGTGCTGTCAAATCCCACTGGGCACGGGAGACCACCCCAAGATTCCCCAGGATATTCTCCAGGATCTCCTCCAGGAGAGCCCGGCACATCCCATCAGCTCGGGCCACACCTCCCAGGATGGCTCCCAGTGCCAGCTGGTGCCACAGGGCCTTTGGACTGGGCCACCTCTCTGTGGGGACGTGTGACAGCGACACCTCCATATCCCACCTTCGGAGTCCAAGGGCACCGCGGCACCAGGAACCCCCCGGTGACTCTGCTGGGCCCGGGAGAGGGCCGGGCACCGCCGGGCGCAGCAGGAGAAGCGGGAACAAGCGGGATGAGAGGCGGGAATCAGGCCCCCAGGGTCATGTTGCGCAGCAGCCACTGCTGGGCGCGGCCGCCGCCGCAGTCGCGCATGGTGGGCACCAGCCGGTCCTCCTCCGACGGCTCCGCCAGGCACTGGTTGCTGTTCAGGTGCCTCAGGGTGAGCTTCTGCAAGGGGAGGGGGACAGAGAATTCCTGCTGAAACGCAGCATTCCAATGGAATTCCAACCGGGGAATGCGATTTGCTGGCCTGGTTTGGTGGAGCAGGCTGCTGGAGCTCCGGGACGTCGCCACCGCGTCCCACCGGAGCCGCCCGCTCCTCCCTCTGCCGAACCAACAAAGGGAAAATAACTCCAAGGAAATCTTGTATCTCCAAGGCACAGCTGTTGGATGGAGGAGTTTGGTCTCCACGGCCATGGACACGTGGAAAGTTTGGGACCAGAGCAGGAATTGATGCTGATGGGGATGTATTTGCTCAGTATTCCATGGAAACGCTCTTGTTCCCAGGGCATCTCTCCTTGGGACACCCCCTCTGATCCCACCACATTTCTTTGGGATGGGAGAATCAGGAGGACACGAAACGTATCGGAAGGAATAAAACACCACCTGTTCCACGGGGAGAACAAATTCCCAGAGAAATCCCAGGAAGTTAAACAGGAAATTCTGTCCTTAAGCAACACCAGAGAGGTTCAGTCCCAGCTGAGCCAGGAGCATTCCCACCACCATTCCCTGGGATTGTGCCAGGGCCTGCCCACCCTGCCAGCCAGGAATTCCCAGTTCCCAATCTCCCATCCATCCCTGCCCTCTGGCAGTGGGAGCCATTCCCTCGCTCCTGTCCCTCCATCCTTGTCCCCAGTCCCTCTCCAGCTCTCCTGGAGCCCCTTCAGGCCCTGCCAGGGGCTCTGAGCTCTGCCTGGAGCCTTCCCTTCTCCAGGGGAACATTCCCAGCTCTCCCAAGAACCCTGGGAATGGGGAATTTCAGGGTGGAAATCCTGTCTGCAGATCATCCACTGGAGCAGAGCCCAATTTTATGGCAAGGGAACAATCAGGGAAAACCAGGATGGGCAGGAAAATCCTGGAGCCCTCAGGAGAGGGGAGAAAGGAGGAACAAATCCCAAAATTCATCCCAAACAGCCCAGGCTGATGTCAAACCTTGGGATTTCCTCAGGGATAGAGGGGCTGGAATGGTGGGAGCTGCTTGAGGTCTTGGGCTCACCCAGGAGGATAAATATTGATATATATAAACAAATAAATAAATAAATTATACAAACCAATTAATATAAATCAAAATAAAATATTAAATTATAGATAATATAAAACTAATATATTAAGTAATATAATATAGATTACTATATGTGCAATATAAACAAATATAAAAAATAATATAGAATACAAAATGTAAGGGACTAAAAATAGATTAAATAATATAATCTAGAAAAATATAAAATATTATGTATAAAATAATAAAAAATCATATAGCAAAGAATAATATAAAATATAAATGAAAATAAAAAATATAATAATATCCTTAACTGAAGGAAAATCAGAAATCATTTTTGCAAGAGGCTGATGCTCTCATGGCTCAGAAACGCCATTTATCTTCATTATTTATAATATTTCTGTGTAATATTATATTTACTGAAAAATACAGCAGTATGTTTATGTATTACTTAATAAACACGTAGGTGTTTATTAGTGTAAATTTATATCAATTATATTCCTATATATTTTATTTTTATATAGAAATAAAAAATATAAAATATATATACATATACATATATATTTAAATATAGGTATATAAATAAAGACTTTTTTCTGGTGTTCCAACTAAACTGGTGGGAAATTCCAACAAGGAATTTGGTTTTCTTACCACCCATCTCCTTGTGCTACTCCAATGAATAGGAAAAATTCCGTGGAAATGATAGGAAAAAAATCTGTTTAAAAAATCAAATTCTAGGAAAATCCTAGGAAAAACGGAACCTTTTTTGAGAAAATATTTTTTTTGGAATAGGAACCAAATCTTCAGCTCCTGCAGCTTGGAATAATCATGGTGATAGCAAGAGATCAAGGGAGTTTAATTCATCCAAAATTAATTAAAACTAGCAATAATTAACACCAATAATTACTAGTAACTATTACTAAGAACTAAGAACTAACATTAAACATCTGTTCTATCCTACAGCTATAAAATAATCTTCTGTCTTGTTTTATAGAAAAAAATTGATATGAAAGGTTCTATTAAATTATATGAAAATCCTATTAAAAATCATATTAAATTTTATAAAAATATATTAAAAATATATAAAAATCCTATTACACTGCTACCAAAAAATCTGTGAACATTCTGTGAAAACTCCAGGAAATATTATATACAATAATTGTATGAAAATGATATGAAAAATTGTAATAAAATTCTCTGAAAACTCTACAAAAGATCCATGAAAATTCGTTAAAAATTTATGAATTTTTATGAACAATTTTATGCAAATTGTATGAAAAATGACATGAAACAATGAAAACTGCGTGAAAAAGTGTTTCAAACATTCTTGTAAAATTCCCTGAAGTATTCCATGAAGATCTACCAACTCCACGAAATACGAACATTTCCAAAACCGCCAAAAAACATTTCAAAACCACAAAAATTCCACCCAAAACTAAAACAAGACAGAAACTCCACTGAGCTCCTCCAGCAGGAAGATTTCCTGGCAATTCCTTACCACATCCTAGATTTCCTCCCAGTCCCGACGCCCCTAGAGGAAATAATCCGTGGGGCTGGAGTAAACCTTCCTAAAGACTTCCAGGCGGGAGTAATTCCTGAGGATCCAGCTCTGCAGGGGGCTCCCGTCACAGGCCTCCACCGTGGGGCCCTGGGAGCCGTCCTCCACCCTGCCCAGCGTCAGGCACGACTGCGTGATGATGTGCAGGAACGTGCGCCTCTGGAAAAGCGGGAACGCTCAGTGGGAACAGCGGGGAGAACCGGGAATTGCTCGTGGAGAACGGGCTGGGAATGAGCCGGGGATCAACGGGGAGGTCCGGAGGGGAATTCGTGGGATGGGATTGAATGGCACACAAAATCTCCTCCCTGCTCTTGAGAGCATTCCCATGATCCAGAGTGGATTGTGGCTCCCAATCCTGTGCTCTCCTGCAATTCCCTCCTGGGAAGATCCAGGCAGAGATGGGGTTTTCCTAGAAATATCCCAAAACTTCCACCTTGCTCTTGAGAGCACTCCCATGATCCAGAGTGGATTGTGGCTCGTTCTCCCTACCTTTGGATTACTGCTATTCCCTGCTGGGAAGATTCAGGCAGAAATGGGGTTTTCCTAGAAAAATCCCAAAACTTCCACCTTGCTCTTGAGGGCATTCCCATGATCCAGACTCTGGCTCCCAATCCTGTTCCCCCGGCCCTTGGATTGCTGCAATTCCTTGCTGGGAAGATCCAAGCAGAAATGGGGTTTTCCTAGAAATATCCCAAAACTGCCACCTTGCTCTTGAGAACACTCCCATGATCCACAGTGGATTGTGGCTCGTTCTCCCTACCTTTGGATTACTGCTATTCCCTCCTGGGAAGATCCAGGCAGAAATGGGGTTTTCCTAGAAATATCCCAAAATTTCCACCTTGCTCTTGAGAACACTCCCATGATCCACAGTGGATTGTGGCTCATTCTCCCTACCCTTGGATTGCTGCTATTCCCTGCTAGGAAGATCCAGGCAGAAATGGGGTTTTCCTAGAAATATCCTAAAACTTCCACCTTGCTCTTGAGAACACTCCCATGATCCACAGTGGATTGTGGCTCGTTCTCCCTACCTTTGGATTACTGCTATTCCCGGCTGGGAAGATCCAGCCAGAAATGGGGTTTTCCTAGAAATATCCTAAAACTTCCACCTTGCTCTTGAGAACACTCCCATGATCCAGACTGTGGCTCCCAGTCCCATTCTCCCTATCTTTGGATTGCTGCAATTCCCTGCTGGGAAGATCCACAGATATTTCCTAGAAATATCCCAAAAGCCTTGCTCTTGAGAGCATTCCCATGATCCAGAGTGGATTGTGGCTCCCAATCCTGTGCTCTCCTGCAATTCCCTCCTGGGAAGATCCAGGCAGAGATGGGGTTTTCCTAGAAATATCCCAAAACTTCCACCTTGCTCTTGAGAGCACTCCCATGATCCAGAGTGGATTGTGGGTCCCAATCCTGTGCTCTCCTGCAATTCCCTGCTGGGAAGATCCAAGCAGAGATGGGGTTTTCCTAGAAATATCCCAAAACTTCCCCCTTGCTCTTGAGGGCATTCCCATGATCCAGTGCAGATTGTGGCTCCCAGTCCTGCTCCTCCAACACCTTGGATTGCTGCAATTCCCCATTGGGAAGATCCAGGCAGAAATGGGTTTTGTTCTGCACAAATATCCCAAAATTTCCTCTCTGCTCTTGAGCCCATTCCCATGATCCATCATGGGCATGGCTCCCCATGCTGCCTCTCCAAGCCCTTGGATGGCTGTGATTCCCCATGGAAAGGTCTGGGCACAGCTGGGGTTTTTCCTGCACAAACCACCCTGAACCCCATTTGGGAATTACCCAGTTAAAAACAGAATTCATTAAACATCTATGAGGGGTTTTGTTTGTTTTGGGGGTTTTTTTTGTTTGTTTTGTTTCGTTTTTTTGTTTTTCACAATTCCAGCTTTTCCATTCCAGTGCCAATTCCAGGTGGGGTGAGATGAAGGGGAGCTTCCACTTCCCTAAATTCCTCCCACTGTCACCCCATCACTCTGGAGCAGCTGGAATGCTTTTCCCACATCCCTCACCTGCTCCTTTTCCATGTTTTTGGCTTAGGAATGGAAAAAGTGATGTGAGGATAAAGGAGCCACTAAAAATACCAGAGCCAAGTGTCCCCAAAATGTCACTTGGAGTCACGGGCAGGGACAGCAGTGCTGGATCCCTCCGGATCAGCACTCCCTGTTCCCTCCTGTCCATCAATCCTTCCAGGAAAAGCAGAGCTCCACCAGTACAGGACTTGGAATTCTCTCTCTGGTGTTCACAGGATATGAAATACCCAAAGGTAGGGGATTCCTCGCATGGGGACAAACACAAGTGTGGCAATCTGAGCAGGCTTTTCCTGGTACACGGATTCATGGAATGCTTTGGGGTGGAAAGACCTTAAACCCCATCCAATCCACCCCTGCCATGGCAGGGACACCTCCCAGGCTGCTCCAAGCCCCAGTGTCCAGCCTGGCCTGGGACACTCCAGGGATCCAGGGCAGCCCCAGCTGCTCTGGGAATTCCAGCCCAGCCAGGAATTCCCAGTTCCCAATCTCCCATCCATCCCTGCCCTCTGGCAGTGGGAGCCATTCCCTGGCTCCTGTCCCTCCATCCTTGTCCCCAGTCCCTCTGCAGCTCTCCTGGAGCCCCTTCAGGCCCTGCCAGGGGCTCTGAGCTCTGCCTGGAGCCTTCCCTTCTCCAGGGGAACATTCCCAGCTCTCCCAGCCTGGCTCAGGGAGCAGGAAGCTCTGGAATGTTGGAGCAGCAGCTATGGAGAAGCACTGAGTGAGGGCACTGCTACAGGAGCTACTCCAGGGATTGGGATTTGGCACAGGGATTGCACCAGACTTACCTCAAAGCTATACTCCCATTTCCCAAAATACTGAGGGAAGGGAAGACAGAAGGAAAGCGGAGTCAGTGATCCAAGGAACATTTTTTGTGCAGCCCCTCAGCTCTCCCAGGATGGAAATTCCACAGCTTTGCCGCGATTGGGGACAAAAAGTGGCAATTATCCAGGAAAAAATCATGGAATTCTGAGCAGGAAGGGATTCACAGGGATCACTGATCCAACCCCTGGCCCTGCCAGGATATCCCAACAATCCCATCCTGTCCCTGAGAGCGTGTCCAAACACTCCTGGAGCTCTGGCAGCCGTGGAATAAACCCTGAGGGATGTGTCAGGAATAAACCCCGAGGGATGTGTCAGGAATAAACCCTGAGGAGCTTTTCAGGAATAAACACTGCCATCACCATCCATCCACAAGGAATTAAACTCCTTCCTATCAGCTGTGACACATTTCCAACTTCATTTTTTCCCTGGATCCCTTGGTGCGTGTCACGTCCCAGGATCTCATCCCTCTCCACATCCAGAGGTTTCCCCAGATGTCACAATGGGAATCACCAGGCGTGGCAGCCTGGAATCTATTCAGTATTTAAATACCACAAATGAAATTAGGAAACTATAAAAAATTAATAGTAGCAGGAAATCATAGAAAATTCCATGAAAATCCCTCAGAGAAACCCTTTTTTAGGATTATTTCATGTCCAGCTGTGGCCCTGTCGTCCACTGCCAAGCCAGCATTCCTAAATATTCCTAAAAACCACCCCAAATCCCTCTATGCAATGCCTGAATAAGCAAGGAAAGGAAAAATCAGTGTAATTCCACTGGAAAATCAAATTAATGAATACAAGGAATGCAGGAAATATCCTGTAATTGTTTCTCTGGGAAAAAAAAAAATCAGAATAACACAACTGGTTGTTATCTTGGGAAAAAAAATCCTGGATATTAAGAATATTTGGATGTTAATAACAAATAAATATGTTAATAATTAACAAATATATAATAATGGCAGTAATGAAATGAAAGGGAAAGTGGGCAGCTGAAAGCTGAATATTCCAAGGAACATTGGCAATAAAAAGCTGTACTCAATAAATCCAGGGACAGGGAATGCAAGGGAATGTTTTCCAGGAGAACAAGCAGCCAATCCTTGGAGATGCCATAAAAACATGGAGTATTTCTGTTTTAGGAGCTCCATCTCATGGCCGAGCTGGGTTTTACACAATTCCTGGGAAATTCTGCTCAACTTAAGGGAAAAACCAGCACATTCCCTGTGTGTACTTTATTGGAAGAATTCCAGCCTTCCAGGCAGGAAGGGTGGAGGTGCCCAAGGAATTCCTGGATGTGGCTGAGCTGTGGACAAGGTGGGAATGGGGAACAGCATGGACTTGATGACCTGGGAGGGCTTTTCCAGCCTCAGGGTGGACAGCAGCAGGAATTTCCCCATGGAAAGGGGGCTCAGGGATTGGAACTGCCCAGGGAGGTTTGCAGTGCCCATCCCTGGAGGTGTCCCAGGAATTCCTGGAGGTGGCACTCAGCGTGAATGGAAATCCCTGTGGGAATTGTTTAAAGTGAGATGAAAACACGGAATTGGGCGAATCCCAGGAGGATTTCCCCAGGAGCTGGCTTCAAACTGGAACCTCTGTGTGCATGGGCATCAGCAGGAATTTCCCCATGGAAAGGAGGCTCAGGCCTTGGCACTGCCCAGGGAGGTTTGCAGTGCCCATCCCTGGAGGTGTCCCAGGAATTCCTGGGGGTGGCACTCAGGGCTTTGGGCTGGGGACAAGGTGGGCACAGCTGGGACTCCATGGCCTTGGAGTGCTTCTCCAGCCTCAGGGATCCTGGGATAGTGGCAGAACCACCCCCCGGGCCCGGGATACCTCAGCATCGTACTCCCAGAGCTGGTTGCCCCTCAGGTGGTGGCACTTGAGCATCAGCACGGGGCCGTTGAGCCGTGACACGTCCAGGCACAGGTCGTCCGTGCGGATCTCCTTGTCCGCTGTGTAGGAAAACACCTGGAACACAGAGGGGGCTGCAAAAGCCTGGGAACGCCAAGCCCAGCCCTGGCAGGGACCCCGGGCTGGAGAGCTGGAGCCTTGCCTCAGAGAAATCCATGGGAATTCAGGGCAAGGGAAAGGTTTTCACTGGAGAAATCCATGGGAATTCAGGGGAAGGGAAAGGTTTTCCCCTGGAGAAATCCACGGGAATTCCGGGGAAGGGAAAGGTTTTCCCCAAGAGAAATCCATCAGAATTTGGGGCAAGGGAAAGGTTTTCCCCTGGAGAAATCCATGGGAAGGGAAAGGTTTTCCACTGGAGAAATCCATGGGAATTCAGGGAAGGGAAAGGTTCTCCAAGCCAAGAAGCAGAGAAATGAGGCCAAGCTCCAGTGAGGATGGAGGAAGCGACAGGAGGAGATGGCAGGAGCTGGGATGAAGCTCCAGGATAAATCAGGGATGGGAACACGGAGCATCCCAGCCTTTCCCACCAGGAATGTGGCCAGGAGCAGGTGCCTGGAACACCAGAGCTACCGGGGAATTGTGACCGTGCCAGGCTGGCACCACCCCTGGAAAATTCTACACATAAATAATAAATTCTAATTAATTAAAATAGAGTAAATTTCAAATATGCTTAAAAGTCCCTTAATTATAATTTACATCCCAAACCCCATCTGGAGCAGCCATGCTAATTTGAATATCCACTGGAATATGCAAATTCTGTTCTAATTAACCCAGAGCTGGTCACAAGACCAAGAATTCCATCTACTTTTCTACTCCCTTTCCAGCCCCTCCAAATGAAACACCCCAGGCCCCCACTACTGGAATTGCACTAAAGAACTTCCATGAATATCCTGGATATTTTTTTTCCCCTACACACATTCAGAACAGATGGATCCAGCTACGTTTATGGATTGTGCCCGTTTCATTTTAATGAAAATAAACTCAAATTCCTGATCACATTTCCTAAAGTTTGTGTCTGGAATGTTAAATTCATTACTAAATGACTTCAGGATTCTATTCAATATATTCACTGGGATACTTCCCATGGATGTGCACCAATATTCCCCCAAAATCTGGAGCTGAAATTGAAAAGAAATGTCTGAGTCCTCTTAAAATCCTTCAGCTCAAAACGGAATGTAATTTTGAATTTTCATTGATTTTTTTTGCTATTACTTTCAAACAAAATCTAAAATGGAATTGAAATAGATACTTAAAATATTCCAAAGGAATTCTTGGGCAAATAAGCCACCTTTCCCTGCTTTTCTTTACCTGGTTCCCTCCCATGCCATGGCAGTTGAAAAATCCCACTTTTTCGTTCTCCTTGCGGCCCATGTTGTCCAAGCACTGGTTGGTTTCAACATTCCTGATCTGGAGAAAGAAAGAGGTGAAATATTCCTTAAAAATACTTCCTGGACCTGCCAGATTTGTGCAGAAAACTGCAATGTGCAAACAGATCACATTCCCAAATAGTCAGGGAACGGTCCCAGAGCTCATCCATGGCCAGGGACACCTCTCACTATTCCATGTCAAGCCATGAATTCAGGATGATTATCCCAAATCTGTTGAAATCTCCATTCTTTTTCTCCCTGTCTGTCCCAGAAAACAACAAAACATCCACTTGGGAAATGCACTTTGAGGCCTGGTGCTGCTCACCTTTGATTTACACCATTTTTCCTTGGATGTGAGCCCAGGAGGAGCCATCCAGGGCAGGACATGGATCATTTATGGCCTAATGATGCTGCTCCAGCTTGGATGGATCAAATCCTGCCCAAATCTCTTCCGAAAGGCAGGAAGATGTCAAAAAATGCACTTCCAATGCCTTAAAAAATGCCCATTTCTCTGCTGCTCCCTGGATTTTAAGGCTGCAATTCCCTTTCCCTGCTCCACTGGAGCAGCCAAGGAGGGCTTTAATTCCCAGCTCCTGCCTGAGCTGCTGTTTCCATGGGAACTGAGGCCACTCTGCACAGATCAGGTGTTTTAATCACTTTTTTCTGCCTTTCTCATCCCATTTTCCAGCCTGACAATGTGGCACAATCCCACTTTATTTGACATTCCCTAGACAAGCCTTTTCCTTGCTGGAAACCCCCATTTCCCTTTATTTTGGCAGGATTAAATCTGGAATCCTCCAGTGCCTTTTATTCCTGCCTACAATGGCAAATTTCAGTGGGAAATCACTTCCCTGGATGTCAAAAAAAGCCATTTGTTCCTCAGAGTGTTATTTCAGGATTGTTATTCCATCATCAAATCCTTTGATTGTTATTCCATCATTATCAAATCAACCCATTCCAGAGCTTTTAAAAGGCAGCAGAGGAATGACTCAATATAGTATTTTTAGCTGTGAATTTGCTGAATTTCAAAGGAATTCCAGCTCCTGGTGGTCCCAGAACCTTGTGATTACCAGGAATGTCCTTGACCCTCATCCCCAGGCTGGGAAACACTCAGTCAACAAACATTTCTTTAAAGAAATCCCAAAAAAGCCATTTCTAAGCCATTAACGATGATGGAAGGTTCCCCTCAAGAGCTGCACATTCATTGTGTCAAAATATTAATCCCAAACTTCACTTTTCCAATCTCCTGCTCCACTTGGGAGACAGATTTGCCTGGCGAACATTTGGAATAGACACTTGATTTAAAGAGAGATTTTTAAAGAGAGGGAATATGTTTGGAACAGCAACTTCTCCTTAAAAAGGACTTAAAAATTGAAAATAAAGAGAAATAAGAAATCAAGAGGAATAAGAGACAAGAAAGGAACTCCTGCACCTGAGTCTTGGCTCCAAAGCCACCTCATCCTCTTGGGAGTGGATCCATTGGCTCTGGACACCTCCAGGTTCCCTGTACTTACTGGTTTCTTTCCTTACTGGTTTCCTGCCTTGCTGGTTTATTTTACTTACTGGTTTCCAGCAGTTACTGGTTTCCTGTACTTACTGGTTTGCTGCACTTCTTGGTGGCCTGGATTTATTTGTTTTCTTTACTTGTTGGTTTGTTGTAATTACTGTTTACCCTCAGGGTTGCTTTCCTTTCCTTACTGGTTTCCACTTCTTAACAGTTTATTTCTTGGTTTTCCTGCTTTGTTGTAGTTACTGGTTTCCTTCCCTTACTGGTTTCCATTCTTGCTTTACTTACTGGTTTGTACTACTGGTTTCCTGCACGGATTGATTTCCTTTAATTCCTGCTTTCCTCTACTCCTGCTTTCCTGCGATTCCTGGTTTCTTCTCTTTACTGCTTTCCTTTCTTTCCTGCACTCCTGGATCGCTGCCCTTCCCGTTGTCCCGCCATTCCCAGCTCATCCCTCCAGGCCAGCCCGTACCTCTCCCAGGGAGTAGTAGCGCCGTGGGATCTGTGAGTCAGGGTAGACGTTCTCCAGGTACCAGGAGAAGGGTTTGCACCCGAGCCTCTCCCGCAGGGCTTTCCTTACGGAAACATCTCCGTAATCCACCTTCACCACCCCTGGAATGGTGACACAAGAGCCCATCAGACATTTGGGGAAAATCCCATAGTGGCCCCAGCTCCCCTGCAGGGTTTTCCTGACTGAAACATCTCCATAATCCACCTTCACCACCCCTGGAATGGTGAGAGAAGAGCCCATCAGACATTTGGGGAAAATCCCAGAGCCAGCCCCAGCTCCCCTGCAGGGTTTTCCTGACTGAAACATCTCCATAATCCACCTTCACCACCCCTGGAATGGTGAGAGAAGAGCCCATCAAACATTTGGGGAAAATCCCAGAGCTGCCCCCAGCTCCTCTTGATTCCAATCCATGTGCTGGGATTGGGAGCAGCAGGGTGTGAGGGCTGAGTGGCTGCCTCTCCATGGAGGTGTGCAAGGGGTAATTATAATTAATTCACTCATTAATGGAGCCAAGTGAAATGCTTGGCAAGTGATCCTTTTTCCTTCCTTTGTCAATCTGGAAAGGCAGGACTGCAGAATTCCCTGATTTCTTCATGTTCCAAAATAACAAAGGAATCCGGTCACATTTTCACAAACCATGTTTCCCTGAACTCTCCTGACAGGAATAACTCAGACAAGGTGGGGAGGGCCTGGCAAGGATTCCCAGAGAAGCTGTGGCTGCCCCTGGATCCCTGGAAGTGTCCAAGGCCAGCACCTGAGCTGGATTTCCTTGGAGCATCCCATGGCTCTTCCCACTCTTTGTGCCCATCTCCTGCCACCACAAAAGGTCCCAAAGGAGCAGACACGGAGCCAGACCTGGCTGCACATCAGCAGGACCTGGACACAGGTTTTCATGGAATCATGGAGGCTGGAAAAGCATTCCAAGGTCATGGAGTCCCAGCTGTGCCCGATGCCCACCCTGTCCCCAGCCCAGAGTGCCACCTCCAGGAATTCCTGGGACACCTCCAGGGATGGGCACTCCAAACCTCCCAAGGCCTGAGCCCCCTTTCCATGGGGAAATTCCTGCTGATGTCCACACACATGGACGTTCCAGTTCCAAACCAGCTCAGAACCACAAGGAGGGAAGGGAGGGAGGGAAGGGAGGGAGGGAAGGGAGGGAAGGAAGGAAGGAAGGAAGGAAGGAAGGAAGGAAGGAAGGAAGGAAGGAACTGTTGGAAACCAGTGGCTGTGGAGGGAATATTTTGGGCACAGTTTGTGTTTCAGGAGAGGATCCCAATCCCACTTTTTGCCCTCCCACACAGACAGGGAAGAACCTTTTTTGCAGCCAGACAATTGTCAAGATTTGCTGTGATTAAGGAGGAAAATCCCTCCCAGCTTCCTCTCCCAGGATTTTTTGAACCTCATCTGACCCAAGCTGGGACAGTCCCACACATGGCAGCTCCTGGATTCCAGGTTTATCCATTCCCTTTCTTTCCTAAGAAATCCCATTTGAAGCATATCCAGGATTTCTGGGATTTCTGAAGCTCTCCTGAATTATTTGGCTCATGAGCTCAGGCCTTGAGCCAGGCTCCTCCCAAGGAAAACTCCAATTCCTTGGCAATGCAGGCTTACACCAAACCCAAAAGGGGAGTTTTCCTCACTGCTTTGGGATTTTTTTCCCCTGGTCTTCTTAAATCCAGCTTGGATTTATTAAAAACTCTGGCTCCTGACTCATCTCAGCACAAATAAAGATTTTCCTGTTATCCACACAAAAACAGGAGAAGGCACCAATTAAAAACATGCTCAAGATCCCAAAAATTAGAGCTGAGCTCTCCTCCAGCAGAATTCTGTTTTCCCAGGGAACCAGCTCTCTCCAGACTTTTAATTTGGGATGTAATTATGAGGTGTGCCCCTATTTATGCTGAGAAGTCTACTTCCCACTGGGAGCTGCCCCTGGCTCCTCTCTCCTGGGATCTTGACTCAGGAATGGGATGAATCAGCTCCCAGAGGAGCTGGGGATGAGGCTGTGCCAGACAACAGAGCCCTCATTACCAACAGGCAAATTCCTTTGTTCTCCCAGAGAATTATCCAGAGATCTCCATTTTCCTCATTAATAGGAAGGGAAAATGATCAAAAAGCAGATTAAAAATACTTAGGAATACTTTTTATATTTAGGAACGCCCTATTTTAAAAAGATCTATTATTTCCTACTTATTTTTATGGAGAATTTCCATGAAAATCTTCATTTTGTTTCTCTTTCTCCTCCATTTGCTTCTCAATGCTGAGGAACAACCTCATTATATTTTATCTATTAATTATTACAGGTATTAATAAATAACATGGGAAGAGATCAGGGAATACAAAGACCACCTATTCCCAAATTCTTCCACATGGCTGAAATTTTGGATCACAAAGCCTTGCCACTAGCAGTGACCTAATTCCACCCTTTCCCTGCAATCCAATTTTCACCAAGGGTTCTCTGTTGGCATTTTGTATCAAATCCTGGGAAGAGGAGAGGGCACTTCTAGGAGCACTGAAATCCAGCTGATCTGGGCTCGTTCCAGAAGGGAAAAACAAGGAATAACCTCACAATAAATATAAAAAGCAGGTTGGCATTTCATCTTAATTTTTCTGTTTTAAAGGAACAGCTTCCTTAAAAATTGATGGGACAAAAGCCACAAGGAAGAGATCCATATATATACATATATATATTTATACCATTATTAGGTGCTTAAAATGAGCACAGACTTTTTTTAAATTTAAATTTCCCGGATTTTTAAGGGATTTCCAGGATGGATTGGGAATATTCTGTGAGCATCCACAGGAGAAATGGGATTCCACAAGCAGAATCCCAGAGATTCTTTCCAGCTGGGATTAAGTGCTGATTCCTGATATCTTGAACCCCTGGAAAAACCAAATTCCTGGAGCAGCCCATGGAAAACAGCAGGAATTCAGCTGGAACAGGTGAGGGACAACAGCAGGAAATGGTGCAGGAGAAGAAGCACGAAACTCACAGGGATATTACTGACTTGCCAGGGAAAATTGAAACTGACTCTGCTGCCACAGAATTTCAGTGGCAAGGAAGGTGGAAGATGGGAAAACGGGAAAATGATCCCACAATAAAATAGCAGTGACACTTCCCTGGTCCATGGGTGCTCCCTGCTACACATGGGGGAGAAAATCCCAGTGCTGAGCTCCAAAGGGTTCCTACTCTCCATGCTGGGAACTCTGCTGCCCTTCCCACAGACCCCTGAGGATTCTAGGGATCACCTGGGCCCCTCCTGGGGATTCCAGGGCCCTGTGGATGTGGCACTGGGGACATGGCACTGCTGGGAATGTTGGACTCCAAGATCTCCAAGAACTTCTCCAACCCAAACAGCTCCATGCCACCTCCCACTCCCAGCTCCCTTTTTCAGGACGCGCTCCGGACCACGCGCGGATCCCAAGGGCGGCCGTACCCGGGGAGATGATGTAGAAGAAATCCTTGAACTCGTCCATCCAGACCTCGGCCAGCCTGCGGTTGTTCTTGTTGATGACGTGGCCGGTGCCCCCCGGGAAGGTGTAGGGGGTGGCCTTGCGGAACACGTGTCCCACGTGGGAGCAGGTGACGATCTCCAGGGAGCCTCCACACTGCCAGATCTGCAACGGGAACGTGCAGGGACCGGCCCCAGATGCAGTTATGGTATTTTGGGAAAAATCCTCTGCTAGGATTTTTCCCTCCTGAAGGAGCTGAGGAGCCTCAGGAAAGAAATGTAAACAATAACTGTGTGCTGCTGTGGGATGCAGCAGGTGAGCTGGGTTGTTTCTAATTAATGCCCAACCACAGATGCAGCTGGCTCGGACTCTCTGGGAGCCAGGAGTCTTTGTTATGCATCCCATTCCTGTCCTTTCTAGCCTTCCGATGAACCCTTTTCTCTCTGTTCTTTTAGTATAGTTTTAATGCAGTATTTTAATATAATATGTATCACAAGATAATAAACCAGCCTTCTGAAACATGGAGTTGAGACTCTCGTCTCTCCACTCGTCCCGGGAGCACCTCACACAGCATCCACAGCACCCCAAACACGGCAGGGCAGGATTCCTGTCCGTGCCCCCCGCCACCCCTCCCAGCAGGGCTTTCAAGGGAAAATTCAGGGATTCTGCCCTGGCTGGCAACAAATGTCAGGGGAAATTGGGTGGGATTTGGGCCTCCTGAGCGAGCAGCAGCTCAAATCCAACCGGGAATGCTCGGGAGGAGTTGAATGGGGAAAAAACCCGGCTTTTTAAAGGACACTGTGGAATTTACAGCACATTTCACCACACAGGAATTCCATGGAAAACAAATAGGAGCTATGAAAAGAGAGTTTTGACTGGATGTCCCTGCTTTTCCCCAAAATCCATGGAGCTCAGATCCAGCCACAGTCCAGGGAGAAATAAAGACAATTCTGACTGAATTTTCCTGCTCTTCCCCAAAATCCATGGAGCTTGGACCCAGCCACACTCCAGGGTTGCTCTCATTCCCATGGATTATTTCAGGGGAATTGTCAGGATAAATTGGGTGGGATTTGGGCCTCCTGAGCGAGCAGCAGCTCAAATCCAACCGGGAATGGATTTGGGAGGAGTTTCATGGAAAGAAAAAAGAGTTTTTAATGGACACTGTGGAATTTGTAGCACATTTCACTGCCTCACACATTGCACCACACAGGAATTCTATGGAAAACAACTAGAAAAGGAGAATTTTAACTGGATTTTGAATTTCCCTGCTCTTCCCCAAAATCCATGGAGCTCAGGCCCAGCCCCACTCCAAGGAGCAATAAAGACAATTTTGATTGGATTTTTCCTGCTCTTCCCCAGAGCTCCCAGTGCTGGGAATGGCTCACTCGGATTTATGGAGCACAAACAGGGTTCCATCCTGCTGGGAAAGGTGCCATTCCCTAATGGATTCATGGAGGGCATGGATCTTCCAGGATCCCATACTGTTCAAAGGAACAGAGCAGAACTTCTACCCACACACTCAAATATGCACACATAATTTTTCATCTATTTTGACATGCACTTATTTATACATATTATATATGTAAATATAAACATAGAATATATATATTTCTATTTTTTATATATTTACATTTTATATATAAATTTTTCCAAGCAGAATCCCATCCATGGCCATCCCGAGGAAAGCCCCAGCATTCCCAGGATATTGCCACACCCAGGGACACAAGGCAGCACATCCCAGACCCTCCGAGGTGCAAACCCAGGAATTCAGGGTGTGTTCTCCACCTCATGTGCTGGTGAAATCCCAAAAAATTCATACTAAATGAAGAAGCCAAAGTGGGGAACTTTTCCCAGATGGAAATTTTCCCTTTCCAGTGCTGGAGCCAAAATCTGTGCTCGGGATAATCTAAAACATGCTGGAATGCTGGAATTGAGAACTTTGGGGTTAAATAACAAATTTTGCTGCTGGATCACTATGGATTGAGAAAGGCTGGGAATCCTGGAATTATTTAGTTTGGAAAAAACTTCCAAGATCATTGAGTCCAACGTTAACCTCATCCACCACTGATCCATGTCCTCATTCCACAGCTTTTAAATCCTTAGGGATGGGACTCCACCTCTGGTCTGGGCTTTAGTCTCTACTAAGGAGCCAGAAGGATCCAAATTATTTAATTCTTTATTTTAATTAAATATTTTATTTATCTTAATTATTTCAATTATTTTAGTTCCGGTTTTTATTTCAAATATTTATTTCAAATATTTATTTCCATTTTTAAATTTCAATTATTTATTTCAATTGGTTTAATTATTTCAACTTTTCATTTTAATTATTTTATTACAATTCTTTTACCTCCAGGCTCCTCCTGGTGTTAAATCCCTGAGTTTTTGAGGAGTTTTAAGCAGGAGCTCTGGTGGAATCTTGGAATTAAAGCTCCTTGACACAGACCTGAGTTCCCATGGCAACCAAGGCAGATTTAGTTAATTAGGGCTCCCTCCATTTCCAGAATTCCATGAGAATGAGGAGGGATGGGTTCTGTGGGATCAGCAGTGAAACATCCCTGTGTTAACTGCTCAGGGACTCGGGGGAGCTTCGGGATCAGGGGTGCCAAGGAATTGCAGAGGGAACATGGAAAAATCCCAAATATACACCAGGGATGTGCCCATGGAGCAACCTGGGAGCGTGGAATAACCCCAAAAAAATGCATGGAGTAACCCCAAATAACTACATGGAATAACCCCAAATAATTCCATGGAATAACCCCAAAAAACTGCATGGAGTAAACCCATATAACTCTATGGAATAACCCCAAATAACTGCATGGAATAACCCCAAATATCCACCAGGGAATAACCCCAAATAACTGCATGGAATAACCCCAAATATCCACTAGGGAATAACCCCAAATAACTGCATGGAGTAACCCCAAATAACTGCATGGAGTAACCCCAAATATCCACCAAGGAATAACTCCCAATAATTCCATGGAATAACCCCAAATATCCACCAAAAATAACTCCATGGAGTAACCCCAAATATGCACCAGGGAATAAATCCCAAATATTCACCTAGAATATGCTCATGGAGCAACCTGGGAGCATGGAATAACCACACATAAACTCCAGGGATGTGCTCATGGAAAAACCCCCAATAATTCCATGGAATAACCACAAATAATTACATGGAATAACCCCCAATAATTCCATGGAATAACCACAAATAATTACATGGAATAACCCCAAATAATTCCATGGAATAACCCCAAATACTCCAGGGATGTATTCCCAGAACAACCTGGGAGTGTGGAATAAATCCCAAATATACACCAAGGATGTGTTCATGGAGAAATCTGGGAATAACCCCAAACATACACCAGGGAGTAAGTCCCAAATATTCACCATGGATGTGCTCCTGGAGCAGTCTGGAATAACTGGACATGCCAGGAAGGAGGACACACATTTTGAGACACCCTCCATCCCAAATCCCAGCATTGCCCTGCTGGTTTCCCATTCCAGCTGGCAGGGAATTCCTCCCACACCACCATTTCTAAAAACCTCTGCTCCTGGACACTTTTCCAGCCCATTTTTGGCTCTCCTTGGAGCAATCTGCTCCCTGTGCCAGCTGGGATGGGATGTGGGGGAACTCACACCCTCTTCTGAAAAGGAAGTTTTCAATATTTGTTTAAAATCCCAACGAATCAACCTTCTGGGACACTCCCTGGGAATGTGACTGCTTCCCAAAAGTTCCCGTCCTGGCTGAGAATTGTGGGGTCCCAGGGATCTGCTCCCCTCACAGACTATGGAATGCATTCATCCCTCATTGCTGGGACCCCAGGGAGTCAGGGAATTCTGGAATGCTTTGGGTTGGAAGGGCATTAAATCCCATCCCAATCCATACTGGGACACCTCCCACCATCCCAGGGTGCTCCAGCCTAGCCTTGGACATTCCAGGGATCCAGGGCAGCCCCAGCTGCTCTGGGAATTCCAGCCCAGCCAGGAATTGCCCATTCCCAATCTCCCACCCATCCCTGCCCTCTGGCAGTGGGAGCCATTCCCTGGGTCCTGTCCCTCCATCCTTGTCCCCAGTCCCTCTGCAGCTCTCCTGGAGCCTTCCCTTCTCCAGGGGAACATTCCCAGCTCTCCCAGCCCGGCTGCAGAGCCAGGATTCTGACTGGCTTCTAAAGGAATTAACCCTTCCTGCTCCTCACCCTTTCCTGTCACAATTCCCACAACAGCCAAGCAGGAATTCCAGAGATCAGAACAACTCCACTGCCACATCCCTGAAGAAATCCCCTTCTCCCGGTCCTTTCTGCACTTCCAGCAGAGCCAGAAATCCCAAATAAACCCCGTCCTACCCTGCTCAGAGCTCACATTCCCAGTCCCAGCCCTGCCTGGGTTATCCTAAGGAATAATCTCATAGGATTTTTTTTTTTCTGATGGACAATTTTAAATTTCCTTTCCAAAGCCATAGGAAATCCTTTCAGAGCATCAAGTTTTCAGGGCATTCTCCAAGTGGGATAAAACCACTCAGAGGATAGGGAATAACCCCAAATAACTGCATGGAATAACCCCAAATATCCACCAGGGAATAACCCCAAATAACTGCATGGAATAACCCCAAATATCCACTAGGGAATAACCCCAAATAACTGCATGGAGTAACCCCAAATAACTGCATGGAGTAACCCCAAATATCCACCAAGGAATAACTCCAAATAATTCCATGGAATAACCCCAAATAACTGCATGGAGTAACCCCAAATATGCACCAGGGAATAAATCCCAAATATTCACCTAGAATATGCTCATGGAGCAACCTGGGAGCATGGAATAACCACACATAAACTCCAGGGATGTGCTCATGGAAAAACCCCCAATAATTCCATGGAATAACCCCAAATACTCCAGGGATGTATTCCCAGAACAACCTGGGAGTGTGGAATAAATCCCAAATATACACCAAGGATGTGTTCATGGAGAAATCTGGGAATAACCCCAAACATACACCAGGGAGTAAGTCCCAAATATTCACCATGGATGTGCTCCTGGAGCAGTCTGGAATAACTGGACATGCCAGGAAGGAGGACACACATTTTGAGACACCCTCCATCCCAAATCCCAGCATTGCCCTGCTGGTTTCCCATTCCAGCTGGCAGGGAATTCCTCCCACACCACCATTTCTAAAAACCTCTGCTCCTGGACACTTTTCCAGCCCATTTTTGGCTCTCCTTGGAGCAATCTGCTCCCTGTGCCAGCTGGGATGGGATGTGGGGGAACTCACACCCTCTTCTGAAAAGGAAGTTTTCAATATTTGTTTAAAATCCCAACGAATCAACCTTCTGGGACACTCCCTGGGAATGTGACTGCTTCCCAAAAGTTCCTGTCCTGGCTGAGAACTGTGGGGTCCCAGGGATCTGCTCCCCTCACAGACTATGGCATGCATTCATCCCTTGCTGTTGGGATGCCAGGGAGTCAGGGAATTCTGGAATGCTTTGGGTTGGAAGGGCATTAAATCCCATCCCAATCCATACTGGGACACCTCCCACCATCCCAGGGTGCTCCAGCCTAGCCTTGGACATTCCAGGGATCCAGGGGCAGCCCCAGCTGCTCTGGGAATTCCAGCCCAGCCAGGAATTGCCCATTCCCAATCTCCCATCCATCCCTGCCCTCTGGCAGTGGGAGCCATTCCCTGGGTCCTGTCCCTCCATCCTTGTCCCCAGTCCCTCTGCAGCTCTCCTGGAGCCTTCCCTTCTCCAGGGGAACATTCCCAGCTCTCCCAGCCCGGCTGCAGAGCCAGGATTCTGACTGGCTTCTAAAGGAATTAACCCTTCCTGCTCCTCACCCTTTCCTGTCACAATTCCCACAACAGCCAAGCAGGAATTCCAGAGATCAGAACAACTCCACTGCCACATCCCTGAAGAAATCCCCTTCTCCCGGTCCTTTCTGCACTTCCAGCAGAGCCAGAAATCCCAAATAAACCCCGTCCTACCCTGCTCAGAGCTCACATTCCCAGTCCCAGCCCTGCCTGGGTTATCCTAAGGAATAATCTCATAGGATTTTTTTTTTTCTGATGGACAATTTTAAATTTCCTTTCCAAAGCCATAGGAAATCCTTTCAGAGCATCAAGTTTTCAGGGCATTTTCCAAGTGGGATAAAACCACTCAGAGGATTTAACACAAACCTAAAAAATTCAGTAATTTCATAAATAAAAATAAAGTTTATGAATAAATCAGGTTTTTCTTGACTAAAGCAAACCCTTGGAGCTGTAATAATTCCTGCCAGGAATTATCATTGTTTTCCCTAATTAAAAGACATTCCTAAAAGGAGTCATTAAAGACCCATCAGCAACAAGAAGCAGCTAAAAGAAAAAACATGGATTTTCCCAAAATAATCAAATGATACCCCATGGATGCTCCTCCTGGAAATGCCCTTGAGAGCAAAAAAGCTGGAAATCCTTTTAATTATTCTTTGGGATAATGTTGGAGCTGGATGCAGATGAGACAGAGATGATCCAGGGAAAGCAAAGGCACTGGATAACATTTCTGAGGATTCAGGAATTCACAAAATATGAGGGGAAGGGCCGGGTTCATTTTATTTTTTGGGATTGATTATTGTGAACCAGTCCCAAATCTCCTCCCTCCCTTTGGTGATCCAGTCCTGGATGTAAGAACAGCTCCAGAAGATCCCTGTGCCTCACTGCAATCCCACAGCAGGAATTTCCCCCAGAGTTTTCCTGACAGGAGATATTCCCAAATCCCACTGGATAGGGCAGCTTTGGAACCTCCCTGATCCTTCAGCTCTCCTGGCCCTCATTTTCCCATGGATTTGTTCCCTCAGCTGGGGTTTGAACCCTTTGATGTCCCTGATAAAGTCACACAAAATATCCCTGGATTTTCAGTCGGTTTTCCTTCCAGAGGCTCTAATCAATCCCAATAAACAGCACCAGGTGATTCCCTGGCCTTCCCATGGAAATATCTCCATTTATTCCTATCCCTGACCCCATCAATTCACTGGTTTAGGGTGGGAACATTTGGACTGCTTTAACAGTGCCTGGCACTCCCTGCTCCAGGGATTTCCTGTAGAACATGGAAAAACATGGAAAATAATTCCTGCACAGGGGGCTTGGCACACCCCAGGAGGAATTTTAGGGGTTAACACAGCAAAAAACATGGGAATCTCCCCACTGGAAGCACCCAGGCTCAGGAGGGGAACTGAACCTTTTGATTTTCCTGCAAAGGGAACAATTAAAGTTCAGAGGAATGGCCTGGGAAAGCTTTCAAATTCCCAGCTGCTCTTCCTTGGAAAATCTGTTCCCTAAAAAACTTCAGAGGGGTCCCTGGCAAGGAAAACGGTCCTGGCTGAATGGAAAAGACAGGAAAAGGGGGAAAGGGCATTGCCAGGATGCGCTGTGGGCACCAGAGGGATCCTGGGGGTTATTCCATCACTAAATCCAGAAAATGGGACACATCAGGGGAGTCCAAAGCCATTCCCAACATCCCTTCCAACCATTCCCCAGCCAAGCCTCAATTTCCCACTTTTCCATCCGAAGGGCAGTGACTGGATGCATTTCCCTGAGGTGTGGCTCACCCCTACCCCAGCAGGAACACCAGCATTTTCTGCAGGATAGGAATTTCCCTGGCACAGACCCAGAATTCCAGCCGGAACTTGCAAGTCCATGATGTCACCATTCCCAAAACGTCTTAAAACGTATTTATAATTTTATTTTTTAACATAAATTCATAGCAAATTTCCACTGGGCACCTCGTTTTTTCCATGAAGGAATGCCTAAAATATATGGAATTTTGGAGGGGTAAAACCCTCGATACTAAAACATTCCATGCAGCGAAAAATCCCAAAACACCCCACGAGGTTTCCCCAAATTTTAAAAATTCCATTTAACTCATGACTTGCAGGCCAGCTAAAGCAGGAGCTCCCTGAAGGAATGACAGTACAAATGGGGGGATATTTTTTGGGGGGAAAAGAAAAGGAAGGAAAACAGGAATTACCCTAAAGGACATTTCAAGATTCTCGCCACCCCAGATATCCATTCCTGCATCGTAAGTTCCTATCTCTTCAAAGTAGTTCCTGTCAATAGAAAACAGGCCACCAGCCATAGTTGGGGTCCTGGGTGGGAAACAAACAGGAAAAAAAAAAAAAAAAAAAACAAAAAAAAAAAAACAAAAACAAAGAAAAACAAAAAAAAAAAAAAAAAGGGGAGAAAGGAAAGAGAAAAGAAAAAAGAAAAAAGACCTTTTAAAGGACACTCTGGAATTCACAGCACATTTCACCACACAGGAATTCTATGGAAAACAACTAGAAAAGGAGAATTTTAACTGGATTTTCCCTGCTCTTCCCCAAAATCTATGGATCTCAGGCCCAGCCACACCCCAAGGAGCAATAAGGACAATTTTGACTGGATTTCCCTGCTCTTCCCCAAAATCCACGGAGCTTGGACCCAGCCACGCTCCAGGGTTGCTCTCATTCCCATGGATTATTTCAGGGGAATTGTCAGGATGGGATTTTTGGGATGTCTTGCAGGGCCAGGGGTTGGATTGATGGTCCCTGTGGGTCCCTTCCAGCTCAGCAAACTCCATGATCCTAACACACTCCTGATATTTAATCTTGTCTTTTTTTTTCTATTTTTTGATCTTGCCTTTTCCCTGGGATTTGATCTTGTATTTTCCCTCTCAATCCCTAATTTATACAAAACATTTCCTGGGCCACAATCCATATTTTTAGTATTTCAAATCCCAGCCTGGAGTGCCTTCAGCTTCAAAAACTGAGGGAAAAGCATGGAAATATCCACAAAAATGGGCTGTGCCGAGCCTGGAAACGCCCAAGATTTTGGGATTCTCTGACACCAAAGACTGAAATTCCTGGACCAAAACCTGAGATTTTGGACTTGATCCAGCCTAAAGCACAACCCTTCACTCTCAGCTCTTTGTGACAGCCGTGGCACAGGTGACATTTGTCCCTCTGCCCCCCTTGCTTCCCAACTCCCATTTTATCCAGAGAATCCCCCAAAATTCCAGCCAAAAACTGATGGGAAAAATACAGGAATTCAACAAACCCTATTTTTTTTTTTTTTTTGCTTCATCAGTTTTAAGAGTCCATTCAGTGTGTGAGCTGGGATTAATTTTGAGCCCTGCTCCATTTCAGGGTAAGGAAATAAGGATGGATGGATGGATGGAGCTCAGCAAGGCCCTGCAGCTCGTTAGGATAATTCATTTTCCTAATTTCCATGCACACCTGAGCTTTAATCAAGAGCTGCTGGCCCGGAGAGGAGATTTTGGATCGGGAGGAAAACAATTCCCTTGGCTCTGACAGCTTGCTTTTCCCGGGAATAAACCCCAAATCCTGGGAATAAACCCCAAATCCTGGGAATAAACCCCAAATCCGCCCTTCCCCGATTCCAGCCTTGCCAGGACAATCAGGGACAGACGTGGGAATTTTAAAAGCAATTTTGGAAGGTTTTTCCTGCCCTTCCATGCCTTCCTTGCCTGCACTATCCCTGAGCTGCCCCTCCCTCCACCTGCAGGCTTGGAATCCTTCCCCCTTCCCAGATTTAAATCCATTCCATCCACTCGGGAACCCTTTTTTGGTCTCTTTTGGAATTTTGCAGGAAGCCCCAGCAGCCACTGCAGCTGAGCAAACATCCCATGGCCAGGAATTTATTCCATTTGTTCCCTTTTCAGCTCCATTTGCAATTTTGGAAGAGGTTTTGTTCCACTCTGTGATTCCAGCAATTAAATGGAAGAGGTCAGGACATGCTCTTGGATCATTTTTCCCTCAGGGTGCTCCGTTATCAATCCCATTTTCCAAGCAATAAACCAGGAATTTAAGTGCAAATCACTGGGGTTCAAAGCTCAAAAATGCTCAGAAACCCTTTGGAATATCTGCCTTAAATTCTGAAAAAATGAGACTAAAAATCCATTTCCAACAAATTAACAGAGGGAGCTGAACAGGCAGGAATCTCTGGAAATTCTGAACATTGGGAAGAGGACAGGATAGGGTTAAGCGCAAATCACTGGGGTTCAAAGCTCAAAAATGTTCAGAAATCCTTTGGAATATTTGCCTTAAATCCCAAAAAAACAGGAATAAAAACCCATTAACAGAGGGAGATCAACAGGCAAAAATCTTTGGAATTCCTGAACATTTGGGAGAGGATGGGATAGGGTTAAGTGCAAATCAAAGCTCAAAAATGCTCAGAAATCCTCTGGAATATCTGCCTTAAATCCTGAAAAAACAGGAATAAAAATCTCTTTGCAGCAAATTAACAGAGGGAGCTGAACAGGCAGAAACCTTTGGAATTAGGCTGGAGCAGCCAGGGACAGTGGGAGTGTCCCAGGGTGAAATGGGATGGGATTTAAGGTCTTTCCCAATCCAAACATTCTCATTCCTCCTTCCTCCCCCTACTGAGTGGAGACACTCTTTGCTTGATACAAAATTCCCCCTTTTTTCCAAGACAGAGCCTTAAGCAAGTCGTGAAGGATGAAACTGAACTGGACACACAGAGCTGGATTCTTGCTAAGCACCCCAAATGTCCTTTGCCTTCTGAAACCAAACACTTCCCAAACCCCTGCCTAACCAACCTGGGAGTGCTGAGTTTCACCCTGGAAAATTCAGTAACTCGTGCCCCGATGCCCAGCCCAGCCCCTGGGATAAGGGGAGTGCAGCAGGCAGGACTGCTCCCTGGGATGTGAATTTAATGGGACACAACCAGAGCTGCAGGCCTTTCCTTGGAAAACGCCCTCCACCAAAATATCGGGAAGATCAAAGGACTTGAAGTGATTTTTAAACTGTAAAAATTAATTTTTTCCTCAGTTCTGCATCTTTTCCCTGTGGAATCACCTGACAGCTCCTGCGAATTTCTGGGATTGATTCTCATCATCACCTGATCCTGTTTTATTTGGGAAGCAACACCTGCTTCCCATCCCTGCAGCTCTCACAGCAGCAGGACTGCCATTCCTGCACAGAAAACACGGGAGCAATCCCAGGTTTGCTGCATCCCAGCAAAGCCACAACCCAGCCCAGGGTTGGGAGAGGAAGAGGGCTGGCAAAAGGATTCCAGCCCTGGAGCTGCCCCATGGCATCACCTCATCCTGCTTTTCCCAAGGAATGCCATCCCGGGCAGGGCTCCAGCAGCACAAAATCCCACTAAACCTGACCACTGTGGGAGGGGGAATAAACTGAGGAAGAAGGGGAAAAGAGGAGGAAAGGGTGAAAAGGAAGAGAAGGAGGGAGAAGAAAGAGGGAAAATAGGAGGGAAAAAGGAAAAGGGAAAGAAAAGGGAAAACAGAGTAAAGGAGGGGAAAAAAGGGGGGAAAGGGAGAAAAAGGAAGAAAAAGGGAGAAGGGGGAAAGGCAGCGAAGGGGAAGAAGAAGGAAAAGAAGGGAAAGGAAGGAAGAGGAAAAAGGAAAAGGAGAATAATGCAGAAAATCAGGGGGAAGAGAGAAATGGAGGGAAAGAAGGAAGGGGAAAAAGGGGGGGGGAAGCAGGGGAAGAAGGAAAAAATGAGGGAAAAGGGGAGGAAAAGAGGGAAAAAAAAGATGGGAAAAAGAGTGAAAAAAGGGAAAACAAGAAAGGAGAAGGAATAAAAAGGGTGCAAATTTCCCTGAGTTCAGGGGGTCAGGGAGAGAAGTTGTTCCTGGTAAAAAACAGGGAGAAACCTTCCTTTGAATGGGAGAGATCCAGACCTTGGGAAAGCTGCTCCCACATTTATTCAGGAATGAGATTTTGACACAAACATCAGCGAATTCAAAAAATATTCAATGTTCTCTTCATTGCAGCTCGGTGAATCCTTTTCATTCCCATTTTTCAGCAGCCAGGGAAGGGCCTGGGGCAGATCCCTGCCTCTGGAGCCAGGAATTCCTCACCTGTCCTCCTTGATCCTGGCCAGCAGTGGCTCCAGCCAGCCCAGGGTGCACTCGCAGTGGGCATCCAGGAATGTGATCACCTGTCCCTTGGCAGCTGCCGCCCCTCGGAGCCGGGCCCGGATCAGCCCCGACCGCTGCTCCATCCGCAGGATCCGGACGGGCACCTCCAGCTTCTTCACGTAGTTCTCCAGGGAGGCCTTCAAAAACTCTGCCAGAATTGGGGGGGAACAGAAGGGAAATGGGATTTTTAGGGAGGTTTTATTCCAGGGTAGTCACAGAACCTCTCTGCTTGGAGCATCTCATGGCGGTGGGCTTTAAGGTCGCTTCCAAGCCAAACCATTCCCCGATTCCAGGATAATATCTCAGGAATTTTAAATAAAGCACAAGCAGCTCCTTGGAATGAACCAGCAACCACAAGACAAAGTCACTTTGGGCAATTTGCTGCCGTTCAATTAAAAAAAAAAAAAAAAAGTTTTTTTTTTTTTAATGGATTTCCCCATTGGAGCTTTTTGCATGCTCTTAGGAAAAATGGGAATTACTTGGCTCAAATCCTCCTCCACCTTCTGGCATAGGGAATCATTAAGCCACTTAATGAGCAGGGAAATCCAGGGAGTAATTAGGGTTCAATTAATGCTCCATGGGGCAGAACTGAAGGATGGAGTGGCTGCAGGGCTGAGTTTGCCATTGGGCTTCTCCAGGAGTCTTTCTCATTCCATTGATTCCATTTAAGGAACTTGATGGGATTCCTTTTCCAGGGAGTCCCAGTTCCACAGGCAGAGATTGCTTTTTAAAGTTGGGGGTCAAAACAGAAAATAAAAGAGTGAAGAATGCAGGAAACAAAGCACAAAGAGAAGCAACAAAGGCAGAGTTGGAATGAGATGGTCCCTTCCAACCCAAACCACTCTGGGATTCCAAGGAATTGACTTAGTGGGGATATTCAGGAAAATCTGAAACATGGAATGAGGAGAGTGGAGAGACGGGAAGGAAAGGATTTACCTTTCCAAGAATATCAAATTAACTGAGCTGGATCTGATCCAGGGCCTGAAGGGGCTCCAGGAGAGCTGGAGAGGGACTGGGGACAAGGCATGGAGGGACAGGAGCCAGGGAATGGCTCCCACTGCCAGAGGGCAGGGATGGGTGGGAGATTGGGAATGGAGAATTCCTGGCTGGGCTGGAATTCCCAGAGCAGCTGTGGCTGCCCCTGGATCCCTGGCAGTGCCCAAGGCCAGGCTGGGCAACTGGGATGGTGGGAGGTGTCCCTGCCATGGTGAGGGGCTGCATTAGGTGCCCTTTGAAGGTCTCCTCCAAGACAAACCATCCTGGCACTCCATTAATTTTTTCCAACCCCTCTCCCCACTCCCTCTGGATCCCACCACTGCTGGGATGAGCTTGGTGTGAACCACACTGCCAGCCCTCCCTGGGTAGTTATGGTATTTTCTGAAAAATCCTTTTGCTAGGATTTTCCCCTCCTGAGGAGCTGAGGGCTTCAGGGAAGAAATATAAACAATAACTGTGTGCTGTTGAATCAACAGGTGCATCTGGGATTGGTGCATGTTGGTTGTTTCTAATTAATGGCCAATCACAGAAACAGCTGCATTGGACTCTGAGAGTCACAAGATTTTGTTACGCATGTTATTTTATTTTTGTTTTTTCAAGCTTTCTGATGATTTCTCTTTTTTTTTTAGTATGGTTTTTATGTAGTATTTTAATATAATATATATCATAAAACAATAAACCGGCTTTCTGAGAAACACGGAGTCAGTCAAGCCTCACGTCTCCACACACGGGAAATCCTCAGCACTCCCTGAGCTGCAGGACCCCCCCGGGAGGAGGGGATGGGCTCTGGGATGGGAGCTGCTGGGCCAGCCCCACCTCTCTCGCTGGCATCATCCACCAGGACGATCTCGGCCAGCAGGCGCGGCGGGGAGCGCTCCAGCACGCTGTGGATGGTCCTGAGCAGCGTGCTCCAGGCCTCGTTGTGGAACACGATCACCACGCTGGTGTTGGGCAGCTCCTCCGGGTACACCTTGCTCTTGCACCTGCCCAAAAACAGCCGGCAAACGGGGAAAGGGGGGTCAGGGCAAGGGAGGGACAGCCCCGAGGGGATCCGCGTCCTCCCGCTGTGGAAAAGGGGCTTGGAAGGCGCTGCTGCCGCTTCCAGGGGTGGGGATGAATTAAGGGGCAAATTGGAGAGTCAGAGACTGGAATTCCAGTGGCTCTGAATGGAAAAGGGTGATTGGAAAAGGATGGGAAAGGGGCCTGGAAGCAGCCGTGGCTCTGCTCCAAGGGGGAGGTTCCACATCCAGACAGCCCAGGATGGTGGGGATGAATTAATGGGGCAAAGTGGAGAGCCAGAGACTGGAATTCCAATGGCTCTGGGGCTCAGGGAGGATGGAAAAGAGCCCTGGAAGCAGCCATGGCACCTCCTCAAGGGGCAGGTTCCACAACCAGGTGGTTCAAAATTCTAGGAATTAATTAAAGGGGCAAAGAGCAGACCCCAGAGACTGGAATTCCAGTGGCTCTGAGGCTGAGCCAAAATGGAAAAGAGCCCTGGAAGCAGCCATGGCACCTCCTCAAGGGGCAGGTTCCACAACCAGGTGGTTCAAAATTACAGGAATAAATTAAGGAGGCAAAGTGGAGGTCCAGAGACTGGAATTCCAATGGCTCTGAGGCAGGATGGAAAAGGGGCCTGGAAGCAGCCATGGCACTGCTCCAAGGGGAACTTGCCACATTTCAAGCTGATGGGATGAATTAAGGAATTAATTGGAGACCAGAGACTGGAATTCCAGCTGCTCTGAGGATGACACAGGCTGGAGAAGGGGCTCATCTCACTCTGCCATTCCTGATATTCCCAGCAAGGACCCAGCTCAGCCCCGGGGATCAGACTCCAGCCCTGAGCTGTTTAATCAGGAATTCCAGGTGCAGCCATTCCCAGGCTGTCCCTGACTCCAGGGAGGTCTGGAGCACACTGGGAATGGCCTGGGATGAGCTGCCAAGGAAAGGCAGAGCTCACCCAGCACTGATCCACCAGGAATGTTTAAATCCTGCCTGCTTTCCCAAAGTTCCCACTCAAGGAAGCTGATGGGATGAATTAAGGAATTAATTGGAGACCAGAGACTGGAATTCCAGCTGCTCTGAGGATGACACAGGCTGGAGAAGGGGCTCATCTCACTCTGCCATTCCTGATATTCCCAGCAAGGACCCAGCTCAGCCCCGGGGATCAGACTCCAGCCCTGAGCTGTTTAATCAGGAATTCCAGGTGCAGCCATTCCCAGGCTGTCCCTGACTCCAGGGAGGTCTGGAGCACACTGGGAATGGCCTGGGATGAGCTGCCAAGGAAAGGCAGAGCTCACCCAGCACTGATCCACCAGGAATGTTTAAATCCTGCCTGCTTTCCCAAAGTTCCCACTCCCTGCCAAACCCTGCCAGCTGAACCAAGCACCATTCCAATATTTAGGGTATTTCTGGGAAAGCCACCAATGTGGGGCACCTGCACATCCTTTAAAAATGGGAAAGAGCCGTGGATTTTTCAAAGTTAATCCATGCACACCAAAGCCTTCAAATCCCCCTCCCAAATCCCATTTCCAGAGGTCTGTGGGAAAGCGGGATCCCAGATTTCCTGCAGATTCTCTGGGAGAAGATACCATGGGAAGGAGGTGAGGGCCCTTCCAAGGCAGCCTGAAAATTCACCCTTGGGAAGGAAAATCCCTGCAAAATAACCCTGAGTTTATCTGGGCTTTTATCCAAACTGCTCCTGCATTTCCTGCAATTCCAAGCCCCTTGAAACCAGGAATAAAGGAAATACAAAACCCCCTTTGGAACAATTTTCCTTAAATAAAATCTGTTTTCTGCTCCATCCGGGGATGTCTTGGGGGCCCCTCCGAGGCTGCCAGGGAGGAAAATCTGTTTTCCATGATTTCCACACTAATTAAGGAGCTGACAGCTCCTCTTTTCCAATTATATCTCCCATGCAAACGGCTGCTCCAAAGGCAGCTGCAGCCCACGTGGAAAACATGGAAGGGAGAACAAGCACTCTGCTTCTGGAAGGGAAATTTTCACATGTTCTCGCAATAAAGGAGAACTTGCAACAATCCCAGGGTGGCCATGCCCACGAAAAACATTCCAGTACTTATGGATATTCCAGGGAGCGACAGAATTGCCATCTTCACCCACAAGCTCAGAGAATCCCAGGATGGGTTGGGATGGAAGGGACCTGAAATCCCATCGATCCCACCCTGCCTGGCAGGGACCCCTCCCACTGTCCCAGCTGCTCCAGCTGGCCTTGGGCACTGCCAGGGATCCAGGGCAGCCCCAGCTCTCCTGGAAAGCTGGGCCAGCACCTCCCCAACCTCCAAGGAAGGAATTTTTTATCCACCACGACTCAGAGCTGGAAAAACCCCAAATCCAACAGGTCCTGGTGCAAAACAAATGCATCAGGTGTGGCTATCCAAAAACAAACCAGTTTTCCCTCCCCTGAGGGCTGAATTTCAGGAATAATGAATTTTGGTCTCACCTCAAAATCCAATCAAGAATTCCTGCCCTGAAACACGGATCTGAGGGATGGATTTTCCCAATTAAAGGGAGTTTTCCCACACATCCATTGCCACTACTCCTTCCCAAGCCCTTTCCCCCACCCAGGATCATATCTCAATGTTTTTTTCTTTGGAGAATCCCCACAAACTCCAGCTCCATGTTTAACCCTGGCTGCTGTTCCAGAAATCCCAATGTTTCTGCTCAGCCCTGGATGTTCCCAAGCACTGGAACACACCCAGGAGCCAATTCCAGCTGCAATCTCCAGGAGAAAATCCAATTAGGATGCTCCAGCAATCCATGGAATGGCACTTGCAGCCTCACTCATCCAGAAAAGATTGAGGATGGATTTCTTCCCTTGCTGGAGAAAATCCTTGGGAGTGAAATGAGGCATTTCCCTGGTGAGTTGAGCTGGGTTTAAGGTCTATCAATAGCTCCTAATTAGAGCTGGCTCTGATTAAAATCTCCAGCTTGGTCATTTCCAACAGAACCCTGGAAATCCTGGGACATTCCCTGACAGAAAATCCAGGATGGAACAGGAATAAAATGAAACTCTGTGTGAGATCCCATGGATCAGCTGGAATGAAACCAACAGTCCCAGGGCAGGGATGCAATGGGAGCCAGTCCTGCTGGGATACAGCAACGGGATGGGGAATTGCTGGGGTCCTGGGGAGAAATCCCATCCCACAGAATCCCACTGACCCTGGAGCCAGGCTGGGAGAGCTGGGAATGTTCCCCTGGAGAAGGGAAGGCTCCAGGCAGAGCTCAGAGCCCCTGGCAGGGCCTGAAGGGGCTCCAGGAGAGCTGCAGAGGGACTGGGGACAAGGGATGGAGGGACAGGAGCCAGGGAATGGCTCCCACTGCCAGAGGGCAGGGATGGATGGGAGACTGGGAATTGGGAATTCCTGGCTGGGCTGGAATTCCCAGAGCAGCTGGGGCTGCCCTGGATCCCTGGCAGTGCCCAAGGCCAGGCTGGAGCACTCTGGGATGGTGGGAGGGGTCCCTGCCCACGGCAGGGCCGGGATGGATGGGATTTCAGCCCCCAGCCCCCCTCAGCCCCCATTCCCAGGATGGCATTTCAGCCCCCAGCCTGTTCCCAGGATGGGATTTCAGTCTCCAGCCCACCCCAGGATGGGATCCAGCCCCATTCCCAGCCCATTCCCAGGATGGAATTTCAGCCCCCAGCCTGGGATTTCAGCCCCCAGCCGACCCCAGGATGGGATCCAGCCCCATTCCCAGCCCATTCCCAGGATGGAATTTCAGCCCCCAGCCTGGGATTTCAGCCCCCAGCCGACCCCAGGATGGGATCCAGCCCCATTCCCATCCCAGCCCAGGATGGATCCAGCCCGCTCCCAGCCCAGGATGGATCCAGCCCTGTTCCCATCCCATTCCAGGATGGATCAAGCCCGCTCCCATTCCAGGATGGATCCAGCCCGCTCCCATTCCAGGATGGATCCAGCCCGCTCCCAGGCTGGCTCTCACCCGTCCAGCCGCACGTCGGGCAGGCTGCGGTTCAGCGCGATGCGGTCGCTGGCCAGCAGGTTGAACTGGTTGATCTTGAACAGCTCCTTCATCTTCTCCTGCTCCTCCTTGGGGATGAGCACAGCCCTGCCCATCTCCCCCGGGCCCTCCTGGTTCCGGGAAATAACGGCTGGAAAACCCAACAGCAAAAGGTGCTTTGAGCACTTGGGAATTGGATTTGTCCTTAGGGAAGCTGCTGGTTTTCCACAAGGAATGCTGGAAATTCAACCCCCATTCTCCTTGCTCCACTGGGAGCTTTCATCCCCCTCTGGATCCAAGAACATCCAGTTTTATTCCAAGATTATTGAAGCCCCTGGGTTTGTTCCCTTCCACTATCCCAGACAACTCCAAGCCCTATCCAAGCAGGCCTTGGATACTTCCACAGATCCAGGGGTATCCACAGCCTCTCTGAGCACCCTCACAGAGAAGCTGTGCCTGTCCCTGGATCCCTGGAATGTCCCAGGCCAGGCTGGATGGGGCTTGGAGCAGCCTGGGACAGTGGGAAGTGACCCTGCCCCTGGAATGGGATTTAAGGTCCATTTTAACCCCAACCATCCCATAAAACACAAACACAAACTGAGACAACACCAAAGCAGCGCTAAACCCTGTAGATCCTGGGACTTCCTCTGCTGGGAAAAGCCATTTTGAGGCAGCAACACGAGGCCAAACACCGGCAAACCATGAGTGGATCAGCCGGGAGGGGCTGGAGCGGTGCTGGGAACTCCCCATGTGCGCAGACACGAGGCTTGGCTCCATTTTCAGAAGGCTGGTTTATTATCTCACGATATATATTATATTAATATACTACATAAAAACTATACTAAAAGAACAGAGAGAAAATATCATCAGAAGGCTAGAAAGAACCAGGACAGAACAGAATGCATAACAAAATGCTGTGACTGCTCCCAGCCTCGGCACAGCTGGCTGTGCTTGGCCATCAATTGAAAACAATCCACATGGACCAACGGAAGATGCACCCGTTGCATCCCACAGCAGCACACAGTTATTGTTCACATTTCTTTCCTGAGGCCCTCAGCTCCTTCAGGAGGGAAAAAAATCCTAGCAGAGGATTTTTCACAAAACCTCATGGCTACAGAGCGGCACTCACCGCGCAGGGCGGGCAGCAGGGAGCGCTCCTTGCTGTCATCACACTTGTTGCACTCGCTGAAGTAGAGCAGCAGGAACACGTCCAGCAGCACCCAGAGCAGGGAGGTGGCCAGCACCACCCGGCAGTAGCCAAACCTCCTCATGGCTCCTGGCACCCGCTCCGGAGCTCGGCAACGGCGGGAGCACGGCGGGGTCACAGTGCCGCGGCACGGAGCCACCGGGAGGGCAGGCAGGAGCAGCACGCTGCAGGCAGGGGAAAAGCAGCAGCAGAGTCTCGTGGATTCATGGATAGTCATCCTTTAACTGAATGCTGACACTGAAATATTCGTTTTCCTCAAATAATGATTTTAGATTTCTCAACCATGAGTTTTTATCCTGCCAGAATACTTCGGACTGCGCCTCGTGAGCGCCAAAGATTCCTTGGAAAAGGCACCAGAGTCACTGATCCAGGGTTTGGGCTCCTGCCTGAATTCAGGAGTTTGGAAAACAAAGCTAAAGGTGAGGCCTCCATACCCAGTTCTCCAAAGGGTGGAGCCAGGCTGGGAGAGCTGGGAATGTTTCCCTGGAGAAGGGAAGGCTCCAGGCAGAGCTCAGAGCCCCTGGCAGGGCCTGAAGGGGCTCCAGGAGAGCTGCAGAGGGACTGGGGACAAGGCATGGAGGGACAGGAGCCAGGGAATGGCTCCCACTGCCAGAGGGCAGGGATGGATGGGAGATTGGGAATTCCTGGCTGGGCTGGAATTCCCAGAGCAGCTGGGGCTGCCCTGGATCCCTGGAAGTGCCCAAGGCCAGGCTGGAGCAGCCTGGGACAGTGGGAGGTGTCCCTGGGTGGATTGGGATGGGATTTCAGGTCCCTTCCCATCCAAACCATTCCAGAATCCCTTGCTCATCCCTGTGGCTGCCATCAGTAATTAGAGCTCTGTAATTAATGACCCCCGCTCACCATCACTGCCTGCATTCTGTGCCCAGGCTCCGTGTCCTGCTCCAGCCATGCTCCCACAGAATTCCCTCAGCACTGAACCACTGGATAATCCTCCAAGTGCCTGGAATAGAAAAAGAGAAGAAAATCCCATCACTTTTCTGTATTTCCTAAAACATAAAGAAATTTCTTATAACTAAAAATCCCTCCTCAGTTTTATGCACATTTTAACTTCCTTATCCTCCCCACCTCAGCTCCTCATTCCCAAGTGGGATCTTCCCATTTTCCATCCCATTTTAATTCATTTTCATCTGAGCCAAAGGGATGGAAGAGCTGGAATGATTTAAATAAATTAAATAAATGATTTATTTAATTATTCTTGCAGCATTTCTGCATGGACTCCTCATTAATAACAATTTCCATCTGTCCTAAATATCAACCAATGGCTCTGCCTGCTGAGGGATTCCCAGGATGCCGCTTTAAAATTCCAGGAATTGCTGTTCCAGGGTAACACAATCCATTTCCACAGCGGTCACGGGGAACAGTTTCATTACAGGGAAATAATGAGGATGCAAAAACCAAATTTCCCACCGAAACTGTGGATGCTCCATCCCAGGAATGTCCAAGGCTGGAAGGGCCTGGAGCAATCTGGGATAGGGGAAGGATTCCCTGCCCATGGAATGGGATGAGCTTTAAGGTCACTTCTACCCCAAAACGTCCCAGGATTCTGTGATTCCACAAAACCCCCTCCTCCAAACCTCCAAAAGGAACAACATTCCCCAAAAAATAAGATTTTAACTGAACTTCAACCTAAGAAGGTTTGCAGGAAGAGGAGGAAGGGAAGAATCCTGAGGTTCTGAGCTGACAATTCCTGGAATAAACCAAATTTTACCCCATTATCCTGCAGCAAGGCAGAGGGAAATTCCTGCCCCAAAGCCTGCAGGGCTGGGAGCAGGAAAAGCAGGATTTGGGGTAGGAAACAGGAGGCAAACTGAGGAACTGCCAGCATTTCCTGGGACTGACCCCACACAGTGCTGGGGGGGAATTATGGAGGCTGCAAATCCAAGTGAATGAAATTCCAGACTCCAGTCCTTCCTTTGCCTTTTCCCTGGATTAAAAATGCCAATTTTCTGTGGATATAAACCAATTGTTCAGGATTTTTTCCCCCCCAGCCAGGCCATGCCCAGAATGACCTGAATTTTTTTGAGGCTCAGAGACACAGAATCCATCACTGCTCCCTGAAACCTCTTCATTCCCTTTCCCAATATCCCTGCAAGGTAAAGTAAACATGGATATGGCAAAAGTCCCTATTCTTGAGCTGTATTTTGCCACCAGAGCTGGGAATTTAATTCTTTAGTGAAACTTGGGGAAATTTCTGACTCTTTCATGGGCTGAAAATGTGGAAATTGCAACAGGGTGTAGGAAATGAAAGTGTGTTCAGAAGAAACTCAGCAGAATTTTGCAGAATCACAGAATTCCAGACTGGTTTGGGGGGGAAGGGACATTAAGGATTATCCCATTCCACCCCCACGGACACCTCCCACTATCCCAGGGGGTTCCAGCCTGGCCTTGGGCACTGCCAGGGATCCAGGGGCAGCCCCAGCTGCTCTGGGAATTCCCAGTTCCCAATCTCCCACCATCCCTGCCCTCTGGCAGTGGGAGCCATTCCCTGGCTCCTGTCCCTCCATCCCTTGTCCCCAGTCCCTCTCCAGCTCTCCTGGAGCCCCTCCAGGCCCTGCCAGGGGCTCTGAGCTCTGCCTGGAGCCTTCCCTTCTCCAGGGGAACATTCCCAGCTCTCCCAGCCCTTCTGGCCTCGTTCCAGGAGGTCAAAGCCCTTCATTCCCAAATGCGCACTTGCTGTAAATCCGGCTCAGCCGAGTCCTGAGCTGCTCCTTAATCCTCTGGCACTCCTCAGGCTCATCACGGATGAAGTGTCCTAATCCTCAGCAGGACAGGAATAACCTGGGCATGGAAATTCCCAAAGAAAAGCAGAGGAGCTGTCCAGTTTCTCACGCAGCTCTTTGACTGATTCAGCAGAGTTGGAATTCCAGAGTCCAGCTGCATCCCGGGTATGTGATTAAATCTTCCTAATTAACATCAGAACTCCTCTGACCCCCGTGTGGCCTCACAAACCTGCAAGACTCCAACTTTCCTTGGCCACCTGCATTCCCAGGAATACCGAACCTGACTGCCCACATCCCTGCCCTTGGCTAAGGAAGGACACAAAATCCAAATTATTACCAGGAAAGCAATATTCCCAACCTAAACCTTCCCATTTTCATGGAATGAAAACTCAGCCAGAGCTGAACATTTTACCAGGCAAAACTGCTTTTAATGCCACCCTAAACCCTAAGGAGGGATTCCATGGGCTGGGCCTGGTAAAGCTCAGCTTATCCCGAGGTGTGGGACAGGAGCAGGCTTGGGATGGGACAGGGATTTCCCCTGCTCCCCTGCCAGATGTGGCCACATCTGCAGCAGCCCCAGCCAGCTGCACATCCAGCAGTTGCCTGGCAACAGAGGGGATGCTGCCCCGGGTACCGGGGTCTGCCCAAGCCCCCAGTGCCCCCCAGTTTGTGCAGCAGATCCAGCACAGGCAGCTGGGGAGCCCAGCCTGGCTTCCCGGGCTGCAGGAGCTCTGGGATCACTCCCAGGGATTTGGTTTCCCTGCTCCAAGGGGCTCCCAGCTCCTCCAGGAACCCCTTCCCACAGGAGAATGACAAGGACACCTCCTGTCCCCTGCTCACAGCAAAAGGATGGAGGAAGAGAAGTGAAATCATCCCAAAACCCAGCCTGGCTTTCCCAGGGGATGAGAGCTCAGCAGGGCTCTGTCTGCAGCTCAGCCATGGAAACGGAATCCAAAACATCCCTGGGAATCTGTCCCTGTTTGTGCTGCTGCTCTGGTTAAACAGAGACTCAAACCTCACCTGCAGGCACACAGGGATTATCCCCAATTCCCCTGGAGAGCAGAACTCCTGCTGCTCTCTCCCTGACATCCCTCTGCAAGTGTGGAGGAGGAAATTACCCAAGGAGGGGTGGAAAAGTGCCTTGGCCGAGTTTTATTTTCCTTGTGAGCCTTCAGAGCACAGGCACATCCCAGAGATGGGGAGTGGATGGAACCACCTCCTGCTCTCACTCCAGAGCTGAATTCCTGCCCTTCCACTGCCAGCTTTCCAGGGAATCTCCTGTTTGCCATGAGGGTTAGGAGCAGTTCACCCAGGTTTCAATCCCTGCTGCCCCGGATCCCAGAGAGCAGAATTCCAGAGGGTTAGGAGCACTGCATGCAGGTTTCAATCCCTGCTGCCCTGGCTCCCAGAGAGCAGAATTCCAGAGGGTTAGGAGCACTGCATGCAGGTTTCAATCCCTGCTGCCCTGGCTCCCAGAGAGCAGAATTCCAGAGGGTTAGGAGCACTGCATGCAGGTTTCAATCCCTGCTGCCCTGGCTCCCAGAGAGCAGAATTCCAGAGGGTTAGGAGCACTGCATGCAGGTTTCAATCCCTGCTGCCCTGGCTCCCAGAGAGCAGAATTCCAGAGGTTTAGGAGCACTGCATGCAGGTTTCAATCCCTGCTGCCCCGGATCCCAGAGAGCAGAATTCCAGAGGTTTAGGAGCACTGCATGCAGGTTTCAATCCCTGCTGCCCCGGATCCCAGAGAGCAGAATTCCAGAGGTTTGGGAGCACTGCACCCAGGTTTCAATCCCTGCTGCCCCGGATCCCAGAGAGCAGAATTCCAGAGGTTTGGGAGCACTGCACCCAGGTTTCAATCCCTGCTGCCCCGGATCCCAGAGAGCAGAATTCCAGAGGTTTGGGAGCACTGCACCCAGGTTTCAATCCCTGCTGCTCAGGGATGCTCCTGCTCAAGAGCACTCAGCCCATGGCTGCAGAATTGGAAATTTTCTTGAAATTTATAAGAAATTTGGGGGGAAAACCTCCCCAAAACCCCACAGCAAGAAGGATTTGAGGTTTCCAGGATTCCCCTGGTCAGGCAGAGCCACATGGGGCTCAGGAAGTTCGCTGGGAAAAATTCCCAAGCAGGAATTAAATCATTCACAAATACATTTTTCCACCTAAGAAAGGCAGAATCCTGATGCAGAATTCCCAGCTTCCCCCTCTGATAAATTAAAGGATTATTTCTCACAGCTGTCCTGGGATTCACCACAAAAAAAAAAAAAAAAATTTGGCCAGGAAGGTTTGAAACTCCTCCCATCCAATTTAAAATTGGATTTTAGGGCTACACTGATCTAAGCAAATCTGAATATAAAACACACCCTCCAAAAATCATCATTTAATTCCATGAGCAGCTCATTAATTCATGGATAAGGAAGAACTTTTAATGCCAGAACTGTCAAACTCCAAGATCAATCAGGAAAGCTCTTGCACATTTAACAAGGAATAAAAACAGGGGGGAGGGGAAAGGAAAAAAAAAAAAAGAATCAGGTACCTTTAGTCAGAGCCACGCAGTGTTTTGTGTTTTAAGAATTCCATTTTTTCTGCCTCTCTCCTCTCCTGAAATTTATTAATAGCCCCATTCTTCCCTTGGGAATTCATTCCCATGACTCAGGAATTGAAGTGGAAAAGCCTCATTAATTCCTCTCATCCCAGACCTCGGGAGGAAAACCTGCTCTGGCTCTGGGGGGCTTTGTTCAGGCACAGCCACACAATTCCAGGCTCCCCCAGTTCCACCCTCCCAGCAGCTCCAGAGCCACTCAGCCTGGAAAAGGTGGGAAATTTGGGAAGAGCTGACCTGGGTTGATTCCCTCCTTTACAGTCCTGGGGCTGTGCTGGTGCAAAGCACCGAAAAGCTGCAGGTAATTAAAATAAAGATTTAAAAACCCCTAAATCTTAATGGAATAGCACAGAACCATGGAATGGTTTGGATGGGAAGGGATATTAGTCCATGGGCAGGGACAGCTTCCTCTATCCCAGGGTGCTCCAAGCCCCATCCAACCCAGCCCTGGACACTTCCAGGGATGGAGCAGCCACAGATCCTCTGGAGCAACCAAAACTTTGGGAATTAACTCCCAGCTACTGGAGGACAACCCCTTTTCCTACATGTTAAAAGCTCACAATCCTGCTCCCACTGCTTCTTCCAGATTTTTCCCTCAAACACAGCCCACCTAGAAAAGCAAATTGCAGCACTTTGCTCACCAACTCCCCAGATTCCTCATTCCCAGGCAGTCCTGGCATCTCCCACTCCCAAACCTCCACCTTTCCCAGGATTTCTCCCCTTGCAGGAGCCTCCTCAAGGCTGATCAGCTGCCTCTGTTTGTTCCCACTGCGGAGCTGGGAGATCTCCCACATTCCAGGGAAATGCAGAGCACTGAGTGGCACTGACAGCTCGGCACATCCACCCTGGAGGAGTTTTCCAGCTCCTCCAACACAAGGAAATGCTGCAGAAAGCCCAAACGGCCCAAGGAGCAGGGAAATCAGGGAATGGCAGCCTGGGAGCTGCAGGAATGTCAGGGCAAGGCTGGGACTGTGGGGGTGGATCAGTGATCCTGGGGGTCCCTTCCAGCCCTGACATTCCAGCCCTCTGGGATCTGAGGGAGCCACGGAGCACAGCATGGCCCCACGGAGCTGTGCCCAAGCAGAATTCCCTCCCTTCTTCCCATCCAATGGATCAGGAGAGAACCCAAAACTCTGAGCACCAAAAGCCCCCGTGAGAACCATGAAATTGTTTTGGCCGGCTCCCACTGCAAACTCATCCTCACAAAAGGACTGGAATCTCCTCTGCCCCTCCCTGCTTTATTCCTGCCTCATCTCCTGCTCTTTAGGGAAGCAGATTTGTTGGGATTGGTCAGCTCTCACACTGTGGGATTTCAAACTAAAACAAAAAAAAACCCCAAACTTATTTTCCTGTGTCCATAAAGGCACAGCCACGTGGAGCTCAATTCTCCCACATTCCCAGGCAAAGTTTTCCTTGCATTCACCTGACAGACAAAACCCTCTGGAATTTTCTAACATAAAAAAAATAAATAAAGGAGAGATTCCCAATTCCTTCTTTCCAGGCAATTCCCCTTTTCCTCCATGAGCCACGATTTTCCTGTCAGCCACCAGTGGGGTTTGATCCCTGCATCCCCACACTCCGCATCCCCAAAATCCCATTAAACACGAGGAGGCAGTAACTCCATCCCATTCCACACATTCCCACATTCTCAGCAGCCCAAATTTTCCTACGGAATGGGATTCTGGGGGTGCAGATGGCAGGGAGAGTTCTGGCACCTCTCACTCCCAAAAACCAGGAGCTGTTTCTGGAGCAGGTGGGAAGAAGGTGGGAACAGCCAGAAAACCCCAGAACCGTGTGGGATCGTGCCCCTCCCCTCCCGGCTTGAACAGGAGAAAAAAAAAAAAAAAAAAAGCAGATTTTTCCTTCAGAAAAGCAGCTTTTTACATAAGAAAAGCAGATTTTGACCCAAAAAAAAAAAAACCAAACAGATTTTTAAACAATAATTTCACTTTTTTTTTGCACAAGTAAAGCAGATTTTTAGACAAGAAAACCACTTTTTTTTCACAAGAAAAGCAGTTTTTTACACAATTAAAGGAGGGTTTTAGTCAAAAACAAAAAGGTTTTTACATAAGAAAAACAGAATTTTACCCAAAAAGGAGGGTTTTACTCAAGAAAATGAGGTTTTTACACAAGAAAAACAGATTTTTACAGAAAGACAGATTTTATAGTGGTATTTTCCTAAAGTGTTGCTTCATTGATAATACAAAACATCAAACATACAGCACAAGAGGAAAATTTTAAAAATACAAAAAAAAAAAACAAACCACCTAAATATAACCTTAAATTCCTAAAAATACCTAAAAATACCTTTAAAACTCAAGTTTTAAGGCCTCATCTCCCCTTCAAAGCCCAGCAGCCACCAAGAGTTAAAATAATCTTTGCCTCCATCATTCCCAGCGTGCCTTAATCTCCCATTAATCTTTCCTCCCCCTATTCCCAGCATCCAAGTAAATTCCAGCCCTTATTTCCTGAAAAAAACCCAAACAACCTAGCTTTTACCAGTTATTTTCTCTTTATCCATTCAGACTGATCCAATTTCTAATGAAAAAATGGAAAATAAACTTGATTATCTGTCAGCTCGGAAGGGGCTTTCCCCCGATTCCTGGGAAAGCAGCTGCCATCCCAACTTCAGGATTTTCTGGGAAAATCCCAGCTTTTAACAGCCGAGCCAAATCCCATTCCCAGCAGTGTGGGCTGTTCCTATCCTTATCGCCACGCGGGAGGAATTTAAGTGGAATTTAAATGGAATTTAAGTGGGGTTTAAGTGGAATCATCCCTGTGCATCTCGCTCTGTGCGAGCACTGGGAGAAACCACCGGGAAAACCGGGAAGCAGCCAGGCTGAGGCGCTTCCAGGGAGAGCTGCAGCTGCAAGAGCCCCAGCCGCGATTCCAGGCAATCCTGGCAGCCCAAAACATCATTCCAGGGAATCCTGACAGCCCCAAATGCGATTCCAGGGAATCCTGGCAGCTCAAAGCACTTTCCAGGGAAACCTATGGTTGAAATCCAGAGCCCAAAACATTATTCCAGGGAAACCTGACAGTCCAAAACGCTATTCCAGGGAAATTTACAGCTGAAATCCACAACCTTAAGTGCTATTCCAGGGAATCCTGGCAGGTCAAAGCGCTTTTCCAGGAAAAGCTACGGTTGAAATCCAGAACCCAAAATACTATTCCAGGGAAACCTGACAGTCCAAAACATCATTCCAGGGAAACTTACAGCTGAAATCCACAGCCCTAAGTGCTATTCCAGGGAATCCTGACAGCCCAAAGCGCTATTCCAGGGAAACCTGACAGTCCAAAACATCATTCCAGGGAAACTTACAGCTGAAATCCACAGCCCTAAGTGCTATTCCAGGGAATCCTGACAGCCCAAAGTGCTATTCCAGGGAAATTCACAGCTGAAATCCACAGCCCTAAGTGCTATTCCAGGGAATCCTGGCAGCCCAAAGCAGAATTGCAGGGAACCCTAGGGGTGAAATCCAGAACCCAAAGCGTTATTCCAGGGAATGCTGACATCCCTAAGCGCTATTCCAGGAGAACGCACGGGTGCGATGGACAACACGCCGCTCCATACCAGAAGCAGCCTCCGCGCGGTTTTCCAGGGATATTTGGATCCTGCCCCGCGGCGCTTCCTCGGGGAGCTGCGGAGCGGAGCCCGGGGCCGGGGCCGGGGCAGGGCTGCTCACACACCGCCGGCCCGGCCCGGCTGAGCCCGGATTAACCACAGCTCCCGGGACAGGCGGGATCAGCGACAGCGGGGGCAGAGGAGCCAGGGGACCCCTCGGGATAACGGAGCCGGGAGAACCCTCGGGATAACGGAGCCAGGGGACCCTCGGGATAACGGAGCCGGGGGACCCTCGGGATAACGGAGCCGGGAGCCAGGGGGACCCCTCGGGATAACGGAGCCGGGGGACCCCTCGGGATAACGGAGCCAGGGGGACCCCTCGGGATAACGGAGCCAGGGGACCCCTCGGGATAACGGAGCCGGGGGACCCCTCGGGATAACGGAGCCGGGGGACCCTCGGGATAACGGAGCCGGGGGACCCCTCGGGATAACGGAGCCGGGGGACCCCTCGGGATAACGGAGCCGGGGCTGAAGGAGCGAGGGGAGCCCGGCACGGACCCCGCCGGCCTCACCTGCGGCGGAGCCCCGAGCTCAGAAGCGGCCCGGGGGGCTCAGCAGTGTCCGGGGTGGGCTCAGCCCCGTCAGTCCGGGGGTCAGCAGGATCCTGGGGGAGCTCAGCAGGGTCCTGGGGGTCCTGAGGGAGCTCCGTCCCGTCAGTGCGGGGGGGTCTCAGCAGTGTCCCGGGGGATCCAGCACCTCCAGCCGCGGGGTTCAGCAGCGTCCGTGGGGGGCTCAGCACCACCCGGGGATTCAGCCCCGTCAGTCCGGGCGTTCAGCAGTGTCCGGGGACGTTCAGCAGCTCCATTCCGGGGGTTCAGCAGGGTCCGGGGGGGCTCAGCCCCGTCAGCCCGGGGGTTCAGCACGGTCCGGGGGGGCTCAGCCCCGTCAGCCCGGGGGTTCAGCACGGTCCTGGAGGGCTCAGCACCACCCGGGGCTCAGCCCCGTCAGCCCGGGGGCTCAGCCCCGGCAGTCCTGGGGGGGCTCAGCAGCGTCCAGGGGCTCAGCTCGGCCCGCGGGGGGCTCAGCGCGGAGCCGCCGCCCTCCTCCTCCTCCTCATGGCCGGGGCAGAGCGGCAGCGGCCCCGCCTCGGCCGCAATGGCCGCGGCTCCCGCGATGCTGCGGCTGGGCCCGGGGGCAGCGGGGAGCGATGGGAGAGGGTGGAGAGGGAGGGAGGGAAGGGGAGGAAGGGCCGGGCAGGTGCCGGGGGCGGCTCCGGCCTCACGAACCGCGCGGGGAGGGAAGGGGCGGAGGCGGCGCGGGAGGAGAGGCGGCGGTGGGGAGGGGGGGGAGGGGGAGGAGATCGGGGGGCGGGGGGGATCGGAGGAAGGCGGGGATGGAGAGGGGATCGGGGGGCTGAGGGGATCGGAGGAAGGCGGGGATGGAGAGGGGAGTGGGAGAATGTGGGAAGCGGTGAGGAGGAGAGCAGAGGGATGCGGGAGGGAGAGGTGAGAGCAGGGGACGGGAGGATGTGGGATGGGGTGCTGAGGGAGCAGGGGAAGGCCGGGATGGGGGAATGTGGGAGCAGGGCAAGGCCAGGATGGTGAGGGGATTGGGTATGTGGGATGGGGTGCTGAGGAAGCAGGGCAAGGCCGGGATGGTGACGGGATTGGGGATGTGGGATGGGGTGCTGAGGGAGCAGGGGAAGGCCGGGATGGGGAAATGCGGGATTGGGGATGTGGGATGGGGTGCTGAGGGAGCAGGGTAAGCTGGAGGGGCCGAGGGGACCCAGGGAATGCCAAGGGGAGCAGGGGAAGCAGGCACAGGCACTGGAGCACAGCTGTTGATTCCAGACCCGCTCCAGAGCAGGTTTCCCATCCCAAGGCCATTCCCGGCCCTCCAGAGCCATTCCGGATTCACACCCCTCAGTGCCAGGGCTCCAGCTCTGCTGCCGGCATTTGCGTGGAATTTCCTGACTTTCTGGAAATACTGTTTGGAAAGAAAACCAAACAGTAAAAGCTGCTCGTCCCTCTGTGCAGGAGGAGCAGGGCAAAGACTGCCCAGACTGGAGCGTTTCTGTTAGGGATTCATGGAGAAATCCCAGAATCCCGGAATGGCTTGGGTTGGAAGGGACCTTAGAGCCCATCCCATCCCACCCTGCCGTGGTAGGGACACTTCCATGGCTCCAAGCCCTGTCCAGCCTGGCCTGGGACACTCCAGGGATCCAGGGGCAGCCCCAGCTGCTCTGGGAATTCCAGCCCAGCCAGGAATTCCCAATCTCCCACCCATCCCTGCCCTCTGGCAGTGGGAGCCATTCCCTGGGTCCTGTCCCTCCATGCCTTGTCCCCAGTCCCTCTCCAGCTCTCCTGGAGCCCCTTCAGGCCCTGCCAGGGGCTCTGAGCTCTGCCTGGAGCCTTCCCTTCTCCAGGGGAACATTCCCAGCTCTCCCGGCCCGGCTCCAGCGAGGTTTTCCAGGGATCCCTGCCCTCCTCTCCCTCTCCTGTCTGTCCAGCAGTGCCAGAAACTCCGGACTCCCCATGTTTGGTTGTTGGGAATTAAATAATAACATAACAACAACAACAATTATTATTATCATTGTTATTATTGTTATATTATAAAATTATTATGACATTGATTTCTTTTTAATCAACACCAAACGCACAAATGGAAACGCTTTGACACAAGAAACCTCCCGGCACTTTGGATTTTCTTCCTCGTCCAAAACCAGAAGCAATAAAAACAATTTTCTCCTTAAAAAAATAATTAATTAAAATATTTCCTTCATAAAAAAATAAGCAATAAAAACATTTTCCTCTTATAGATTAAGTAGTAAAAACCTTTTCTTCCTTATAAAATAAGCAATAAAAGCATTTTTGTGTATAAAATAAGAAATAAAAACATTTTTCCTTAAAAAATAACTAATAAAAGGATTTTTCTCCTTATAAAACAAGTCATAAAACGATTTTTTCCTTATAAAATAAGTGATAAAAGGATTTTTTTCCTTTATAAAGTCATGCAATAAATGCACTTTTCCCTTTATAAAATAGGGAATAAAAGCATTTTTTCCTTAATAAAATAAAGAATAAATCCCTTTTTTTTCTTCATAAAGTAACTCATAAAAGGATTTTTCCCTTTGTAAAATAAGCAATAAAAGCATTTTCCCTTATAAAACAAGCAATAAAAGCCTTTTTCCCCTTATAAAATAAGCAATAAAGGATTTTTTTTTCACTAACTAAAATATTTAATAAATTATTTAGGGGCCTCTTTCTCTTCCCAACACATCCTGAAAAATTTCCAGCAAGGAAAAAGAAAAGTTTTAGTTGGGAAAAGAAATTCCCTCCTAAAAAAGCCTTGGATGAGTGGAGAGGGGGAATGGATTTTGTACAGAAACCAAAAAATCCAAGTTTCACTGGAATTAAAAACTTCCAGGAAGCGGCAAAAAAGTTGAATATTCCCCAGAAAAATCCCTTTTAATTGTGTGCAACAAAATTCCATGGAGCCTTTGGAAGCAGCAAGGAGAGAACAATAAACTCTGAAATTAGCTGGGAAATGCTAATTGAAAATGCTAATTAAAAATGCTAAATTTTAAGCCGGGCAGCCCCGGAACTTTTTCTCTAATTCCAGATTCCCACGTGCCAGTCTCCAACATAATCCCAGGATTTAGGATTCATTCATTTGTCAGATCTCAGTGAATCCGTGGCCAATCCACAACAAAGGAAACCTGGAGAAAATCAGGAGAGGGGAGGAGATGTCCAAGCCCTGGAAAAGTTCCTCCCCTTTCCCCTCATATATCCTTGGAATATTTTCCTCCTCTCTCCCAAAGAGAAGAGCTGGAGAGCTGAAAAAAAAAATTAAAAAGAAATACAGAAAAAAGAAAAATTAAAATAAAAAAAAAAATAGGGAAAATAAAAAATACAGGGAAAAGTCCCTTTCCCCTCATATATCCTTGGAATATTTTCCTCCTCTCTCCCAAAGAGAAGAGCTGGAGAGCTGAAAAAAAATTTAAAATGAAATACAGAAAAAAGAAAAATTAAAATTAAAAAAAAATAGGGAAAATGAAAAATACAGGGAAAAGTGCTTTGCACATTTTAACTTTCATTTAAATGCTCCAAATGAGTGGAAAACTGTTGGAAAAGAGCCAGGTTTGCACTCAAGGAGGTTCCTGCATTCCCTGATTTTCCTCTGGAGTCATCACTATCCCATTCTTCCAAGTTTCCAAAAAAAGGAAGAAGCTCTGGGAATAAAGGAAATCCCCAGCTGGACCAGTGCTCCAGAGGATTTGTGGAATTCCCTGCTCAGAGAGCTGACAATCCAACTGTTCCCAAAAAACCAGGAGGTTTTGCTGGATTTGGGAAGCAGCAGCAGCTCCTTGGGCTCATCCCAGTTCCCTCCTGGAGAAGAGCCTGGATCAGGCCCTGGGAGCCCCAGGAGCCTCTCCCACCCCATTCCACCATTAAATTCATTTTAAATCCATGGATCCCACCTTTCCTTTCCCGTTGCACTTCCAGGAGGAGGAATTCAGCCCCAGGATTTCCTGGGCCTGGTAGCAAAGCCAGGCCTAAGTCAGAACTCTGTTTTATCTAAGCCAGGCTCAAACCCCCCCAGCCTCGTTTTCCCCTTTTCCCAAGGCTCTTCCCAACCCAGGACACCTGGATCTGATATCCAGGGGGTGGGAAGGGCTGATGCCTGCACCTGGATTTGGGATTTCATTCCCAAATCCCAAAGAAAGAGACCACTCCATCCTCTTCAAATATTCCAATAAAGCCACTCCCCTGTTCCTTATCCATGGCAAATGTGGGTGAGCAACATTCCCTGGGAAAATTGTCACATTCCCTGGGAAAACTGTCCCATTCCCTGGGAAAAGGTTGGGATGGCAGCGGCAGATTCATTTAATTGTTGTTTAATTGGAATTGTAGCTGTTCTTTATATAAAACTCTGTCACTGCTGCTCTGGAATGTGACCGGAGTTTCCGACATTATCCCACGATCCCAAACTTATGGGAAGTTTAAAAAAATCCATATTGATTGGAAGGCTGATACTAATGGGAATTTGTTGGTAGCAAACTGATAACGGTGACTTCAGACCAGGATTGCACTCCCAAGGATCCTTCCTGGAGCTGCAAAGGGCACGGAGCTGCTCTGGGAATTCCAGCCCAGCCAGGAATTCCCAATTCCCAATCTCCCACCCATCCCTGCCCTCTGGCAGTGGGAGCCATTCCCTGGCTCCTGTCCCTCCATCCTTGTCCCCAGTCCCTCTGCAGCTCTCCTGGAGCCCCTCCAGGCCCTGCCAGGGGCTCTGAGCTCTGCCTGGAGCCTTCCCTTCTCCAGGGGAACATTCCCAGCTCTCCCAGCCTTGGAACATCTCCACGGCCTCTGGGGTCACTCAGCAGCTCCACATCCCAACCATCCATGGGATTGTTTTCCACCCTTTCATTCCTGCTTATCCCACTTGTATAACTGGAGCAGAAGCAAGCAGGGAATTTTTACATCCCAAAAGGAGGATCCTGGAGTGGGATGTTGGCCCTGCTGGCAGTGTGGATTCCCAGCTGGATCCCAGGATGAAAGGGATCCTGGCACAATCCTTTCCCTAATTCAAATTTCCCAAATTTTGTGTGCATTGCCCTGCTCAAAACAGAACAAATTCCAACCACAACCAAAGTGAAAATGTAGGGGAAAAAATATAAGGAAAAATCAAGGTTGCCAGGGTTGTAAAATTTCCCTGTGGAGATTCCCAGGTTTTTATCAGGCACTGGGATTCCTGGGATTATTCCCACGGGGAGATGTGGTGGCTGCAGGAGGTCCCTGCCAGTCTGGGATGGTGGCAGGTATCCCTGTCCATGGGAAGGGTGGAATGGGATGGGATCCAATCCCAAACCCTTCCATGGTCTGTGATTCCAGCCATGGAATTCCCGGGAATCTGAAGCTCAAGGAAGGCAGCGGAGCTCTGCAGTGACAGCGAGCCAGGCCGATGCTGCTGGGATTTCAGGAATGGGATTTGTGCCCTCGGAAAAGGGGAGCGGTGGGGAAGGGGCTGCCCGGAGCCCGCGGCTCTGCCCGGCCGTTCCCGGGTCCCATCCCGTGTCCCGGTGTCCCGGTGTCCCGGTATCCCGAATGTCACTAGGTGTCACTGCTCTCCCGGCAATCCCGACCCCGCTCCGCATTCCGGGATACGGGGCTGAGTGGGACACCGGGAGCCAGGAAACAGGGCCGGGATGTGTGGGAAGGGGTGGGGGAATGGGACTGGGATGTGTGGGACAGGGGTGGGGGAATGGGACTGGGATGTGTGGGACAGGGATGGGGGAATGGGACTGGGATGTGTGGGACAGGGATGGGGGAATGGGACCAGGATGTGTGGGACAGGGATGGGGGAATGGGACCAGGATGTGTGGGACAGGGATGGGGGAAGGGGACTGCAATGTGTGGGACAGGGATGGGGGGATGGGACTGGGATGTGTGGGACAGGGATGGGGGAATGGGACTGGGATGTGTGGGATAGGGATGGTGCAATAGGACAGGAATGTGTGGGACAGGGAGGAGGAAATGGGACAGGAATGTGGGGGATAGGGGTGGGGGAATAGGGTGGGGGAATGGGACAGGAATGTGTGGGACAGGGAGCAGGGAATGGGACTGGGATATATGTGACAGGGAGGAGGGAATGGGACCGGGATGTGTGGGATAGGTAGGGAACAGGAACTTCCTGCCTCCAATTATTCCTCTCGTAATTTAGGGATGGGACTTTTCCTGTCCAAATTGAGGGATGGGACTGTTCCTACCATAATTTAGGGATGGGATTGTTCCTGCCATAACTTCAGGATGGGAAGCATTTTCCCACGGAGTTGCCAAGAGCTGGAGGTGAAGAGCTCAAGGACAGAGCTTGAGCCACGTGCCTGCTGAGAAGGGAGAGCCACGCTCCAAACGGGAATGGCGTGGAGCTCCAAGAGCTCTTCCAGCTTTTCCCCTGGCCGCAGGAGCTGCCAGCCCTCCCTTGGCTCCTTAGAGTCAATCCCATCTTCTCCTTCCAGCAGGAAAACAGAATGTTCCCAAAGGATGAGGGAGAGAGGCAGGGCCAGCACGGCCCCGCTGCTGGGAGGCTCCCGGCAGTGAGGGGCCCGTGTCCCGGACTGTCACCCCTAAAGGTGACCCCTAAAGGTGACCCCTAAAGGTGCAGGGCACAGGACGGGGCACAGGTGACATCCACCATCCGGATCATGGTGGAATCATGGAATGGCTTCCTTGGGAAAGCCCCCCCAGGTCATCGAGTCCAAAACTCCCCCAGCACTGAGTCACGAGTGCCACCCCCAGCCACCACAGCAGGACAAATCAGCTGGAAGGGGTTTGGAAAACATCCTTTCTCCAGGCCTTGGCCTCTCCACCGGGTCATTCCCATGAGGAGCATCCCAGGAAATCCCCAGGCGCCCCAGGGCCACCACACCCTCATGGGCAGGGATTGTCCCAGCCCCACTGATCCCACACGGATCCCAAACTGATCTCTGGAGCTGTTTGGGATGATCCCATCCCCACACACGGATCCCTGGAGCTGTTTGGGATGATCCCATCCCCACACACGGATCCCAGGGGCTGTTTGAGATGATCCCATCCCCACACACGGATCCCAGGGGCTGTTTGGGATGATCCAAGCCCCACACACGGATCCCAGGGGCAGTTTGGGATGATCCCATCCCCACACACGGATCCCAGGCGCTGTTTGGGATGATCCCAGCCCCACTCGGGAAGGACATCACAGGGTTAAGCTCGGCCGCCGCTCCCAGCTCCGCATCCACGCTCTGCTCCAGGAAATCTCCAAGTCATGGCTGGGCCGGAGCTCGGGGCTCGGCCTGGCCGTGCTGCCCATCCCTGGGAATGCCAGGGAGCTGCAGCGCCGGGCACACCCAGCCCACGGCTCTGCCTGTCCGGAGCTGCTGCCACCTCCAGCTGTTCCCAAACCTCCAAAACCACCCGAGGGAAACTGGCCCGGAGCAGCCCCAGGCTGGGCTGAGCCGAGGAGGACAAGAATTCCTAAAAATTCCCAACAGTTCCCAGGCGCTTGGGAGGAGTTTGGATCCCTGGGGTGCTCGGGCGGCTCGGCAGGGATGGGCAGTGGGATGCAGGGGTCCCCGGTGTCACACCCGGCTGGCACCGCTCCCCTGGCACCGCCCCGCGCACACGGGAAGGCTCCAAAAAGCTCGGAGCCGCATCTTCCATGAAAACAGAGCTGGGGGAACTTTGGGAATGGGGGCTCCACCACCCGAGCCCAAGGAGCCCCAAAGGGCTGCTCTGGCTCTTCCCGCAGTTCCCGGGGCTGGCCCTGCACTCCTCAGCACAGAAACCCCCTCTAAAATGTGTTTTCCCAAAAAAAAATCCACTCCCCTGGGAGTGCACAGCCCGGAGCTCGCTCCCACTAAAACCCACGTGGGAAATCCCACTCCCACTAAATCTGATCTCTGCGAGTTCTCCCAAAACCCATTCATTCCCTCAGAGCCACTCCCCAAAGGCCCCTCCTTTAGGAAAGTCCATCCCTGAAATTCGTTTGCCAAACCCAGCAAAAATCCTGCTCCCCCATTGCCCCAAATCCCCCCCATTGCCCCAAATCCCCCTCCTCATCCCGCTCCGAACTTCTCCCAGCAAAACCCATTCCCTAAACGCCCCTCACATCCCTCCCTTGCCCCATTCCAGCTCTGCAAGCCCCCAGTCCCATTCTCCTGATGCCCAAATCCTCCCCTCGCCACACCCAGAGCCCCCTCCCAGCCCCTCTGTGCCCCCAGCCCCTTCCCCACGCCCCCTCCCTCCTCCCGAAGCCCCCTCCCCTTCCCGACCCTTTG